GTGTTGACAGTTTGGTACTAATAATGTTGTCAGTATGTCATGATACTGATGGTGTGTTGACAGTATGATACTGATGGTGTTGTCAGTATATCATGATACTGATGGCTTATTAACAGTATGATACTTATGGTGTGCTGACAGTATTGTGCTAATGGTGGGTTGACAGTATGATACTGATGGTGTTGTCAGTATATCATGATATTGATGGCTTATTGACAGTATGATACTGATGTTGTGCTGACAGGATTGTGCTAATGGTGTGTTGACAGTATGATACTGATTGTGTTGTCAGTATATCATGATACTGATGGTGTGTTGACAATTTGGTACTAATAATGTTGTCAGTATGTCATGATTCTGATGGTGTGTTGACAGTATGATACTGATTGTGTTGTCAGTATATCATGATACTGATGGCTTATTCACAGTATGATACTGATGGTGTGCTGACCGTATTGTGCTAATGGTGTGTTGACAGTTTGGTACTAATAACGTTGTCAGTATGTCATGATACTGATGGTGTGCTGACAGTTTGGTACTAATGATGATGGTGTGCCGACAGTATGATACTGATGGTGTTGTCAGTATATCATGATACTGATGGTGTGTTGACAGTTTGTTACTAATAATGTTGTCAGTATGTCATGATACTGATGGTGTGTTGACAGTTTGGTACTGATGGTGTTGTCAGTATGTCATGATACTGATGGTGTGTTGACAGTATGATACTGATGGTGTGTAGACAGTATTGTGCTAACGGTTTGCTGATGGTGTGTAGACAGTATTGCGCTAACGGTTTGCTGATGGTGTGTAGACAGTATTGCGCTAACGGTTTGCTGACATTTTGGTACTAATGGTGTGTAGACAGTATTGCGCTAACGGTTTGCTGACAGTTTGGTACTGATGGTGTGTAGACAGTATTGTGCTAATGGTTTGCTGACAGTATGATACTGATGGTGTGTAGACAGTATTGTGCTAATGGTTTGCTGACAGTTTGGTACTGATGGTGTGTAGACAGTATTGTGGTAATGGTGTGTTGACAGTTTGGTACTGATGGTGTTGTCAGTATGTCATAATACTAATGTTGTGTTGACAGTTTGGAACTGATGGTGTTGTCAGTATGTCATGATACTGATGGTGTGTTGACAGTTTGGTACTAATGATGATGGTGTGCCGACAGTATGATACTGATGGTGTTGTCAGTATGTCATGATACTGATAGTATGTTGACAGTATGATACTGATGGTGTGTAGACAGTATTGAGCTAATGGTGTGTTGACAGTTTGGTACTGATGGTGTTGTCAGTATATCATGATACTGATGGTGTGTTGACAGTTTGGTACTAATGATGATGGTGTGCCGACAGTATGATACTGCTGGTGTGTAGACAGTATTGTGCTAACGGTTTTCCGACAGTTTGGTACTGATGGTGTGTAGACAATATTGTGCAAACGGTTTGCTGACAGTATGATACTAATGGTGTGTTGACAGTTTGGTACTGATGATGTTGTCAGTATGTCATGCTACTGATGTTGTGTTGACAGTTTGGTACTGATGGTGTTGTCAGTATATCATGATACTGATGGCTTATTGACAGTATGATACTGATGGTGTGCTGACAGTATTGTGCTAATGGTGTGTTGACAGTTTGGTACTGATGGTGTTGTCAGTATGTCATGATACTGATGGTGTGTTAACAGTTTGGTACTAATGGTGTTGTCAGTATGTCATGATACTGATGGCGTGTTGACAGATTGGTACTAATGATGATGGTGTGCCGACAGTATGATACTGATGGTGTGTAGACAGTATTGTGCTAATGGTGTGCTGAGAGTTTGGTACTAATGGTGTGAAGACAGTATTGTGGTAATGGTGTGTTGACAGTTTGGTACTAATGGTGTTGTCAGTATGTCATGATACTGATGGTGTGTTGACAGTTTGGTACTAATGGTGTTGTCAGTATGTCATGATACTGATGGCTTGTTGACAATATGATACTGATGGTGTGTTGACAGTATGGTACTGATGTTGATGGTACATTGTCAGTATGGTACTGAGGTTGATGGTACTTTGCCAGTATGGTACTGATGTTGATGATACATTGCCAGTATGGTACTGATGTTAATGGTACATTGTCAGTATGGTACTGAGGTTGATGGTACTTTGCCAGTATGGTACTGATGTTGATGATACATTGCCAGTATGGTACTGATGTTTATGGTACATTGTCAGTATGGTACTGATATTGATGGTACATTGTCAGTATGGTAGTGATGTTGATGGTACATTGTCAGTATAGTACTGAAGTTGATGGTACATTGTCAGTATGGTAGTGATGTTGATGGTACATTGTCAGTACTGATGGTGTGTAGACAGTATTGTGGTAATGGTGTGTTGACAGTTGGGTACTAATGGTGGTGTCAGTATGTCATGATACTGATGGCTTCTTGACAATATGATACTGATGGTGTGTTGACCGTATGGTACTGATGTTGATGGTACATGGTCAGTATGGTTGTGATGTTGATGGTACATTGTCAGTACTGATGGTGTGTAGACAGTATTGTGGTAATGGTGTGTTGACAGTTTGGTACTAATTGTGTTGTCAGTATGTCATGATACTGATGGCTTCTTGACAATATGATACTGATGGTGTGTTGACCGTATGGTACTGATGTTGATGGTACATTACCAGTATGGTACTGATGTTGATGGTATATTGTCAGTATGATACTGATGGTATGGTATGTCATAATACTAATGTTGTGTTGACAGTTTGGAACTGATGGTTTTTTCAGTATGTCATGGTACTGATGATGTGTAGACAGTTTGGTACTAATGATGATGGTGTGCCGACAGTATGATACTGATGGTGTGTAGACAGTATTGTGCTAATGGTGTGTTGACAGTTTGGTACTGATGGTGTGTAGACAATATTGTGCTAACGGTTTGCTGACAGTATGATACTAATGGTGTGTTGACAGTTTGGTACTGATGGTGTTGTCAGTATGTCATGATACTGTTGGTGTGTTGACAGTTTGGTACTAATGGTGTTGGCAGTATGTCATGATACTGATGGCTTGTTGACAGTATGATACTGATGGTGTGCTGACAGTATTGTGCTAATGGTGTGTTGACAGTATGATACTGATGGTGTGTTGACAGTATGGTACTGATGTTGATGGTACATTGTCAGTATGATACTGATGGTATGTTGCTGGTATTATTTTGCCACCTATGGTATGTAATTATTTGGTCACACTTTATTGACTACAGCCAGCTGCTGTCCAGTGTAACAGCTTGTTGTATTTATATATATACACTATGTATTACAGTGTATACAAAATATAAAGATTTGGGAATGAATGTTCTTTAGCTTGCAGGGACTAATGTAGTTGTTTTGCATCATACATCCTTAAACAATTTTTGTTTGAAAAGTGGCTTAACAGTCACTGTAGCTACCGATATAACATATTGTGTCATTGATACAATCAATTTAACATATGTTTATTTATTTCAAGACACATTTCTAAGCTGTATCAGTTATAAAAAAAAAGATGTCAAATTTAAACATGTACATTAATTTTGTTGCCATTCTAAAATCTCTCTGTCCTTTGTCTGCGAGCTACGTATTTAAACACTCTAGAATTTAGGTTTCCAATGTTGCCATCACAACACTCCAGAATTCAGATGTCCAGTGTTGTCATCCCAACACTCTAGAATTCAGATGTCCAGTGCACTTTCTAATACTGTAAATCAGACGTCCCATGTCTGCTAGCTAACACCATAATTAAGCTGAATCTAATATACGCCCTGGTTTATACTGGAGTCGAACACTGCCAGCGATACAGTAATTCCAGTCATTACAGCCCACCAGGGAAAGGTCAAACAACCCTACTTGGTTCTAGTTACTGGTACGGAGAGAGTGTGAGCAGGAAATCTCTCCCCAGATACAACTCAAGTTGGTATAGTGTGCATAAAACAATTCTGCTTTAGTTTAACATACCATAACCATCTAGTCCAGAATCTGCTTTCAGGGTTGTTTTTGAATACCCACATTATTATCTGAGGCTGGTATTATTCCTCCATATTGCAGTTCAAGTAACCTGCCGCTTGACAAATCTTCCTTCCATTTAAATAAAGTAGACTTATTTCTTCAGAGATCATCCCTAAATAAAGAGTAGTATAGGTAAAAATAAATATTGAATTGATAATATGTACCGTATTATAAAGATGAACTATTTTTAGCATACCAGGTCCAAATTAAAGGGCTAAGGTGAGCTTATGCCTTACTGTGGCATCATGATCACCTTAGCCCTTTAACTGTCAACAGTTTCTCTGAGCAACATCTTCTTCCGAGCTGCTAATTTAAATTTTGTTAAATTCGACTGGAAGCATCCCTGGGGGTTGGGGATTCAACATTGTACAAGTGCTTGGGCTGACTCAAGGGTCAAATATATATGAACAATTTTCAGTGAATTTTTGTCTGAGCTGTTAAAGTTTAAACCTTTGAAGATATCTTGATGAAAATTTAATATGCTTGCATCACCCACAGAAGTTAAACAGTGAAAAGTATTAAGATCATCATAACTTCAGCATGTGAAATAAGTGCATATACACATATTGGCTCATAAGGGGTCAAGGTTGGGGTTTTATTGGTCACAAAAAGAAACTTCTGGTTTGTTAAGATGGCTAATTTGTCCTATTTCATTGTTTTGTCTTTTCACCCCGAAAAATATAAGAATTAACTAACCTTAATTCTTGTTACTTCATCAACAAACCTTTATCTTTGTTCATTCATCTGTTCGCCCTGAAAGACAAAACAACAGGATTTCAAAGTAAATAAATCTTGTTCTTTTTGCTCCGAAAAAGACGAAACAACGAAATGGCACATATATTGGCCACTGTAGTTTATAGTGTAATGCAATGTTGAACTGTTTTGCATATAGGTAGTACAATATTGAACTGTTCAATATATTTGTTTACTATATCCTACCAGGGTATGGTGACTGAAGCCTGTCTACCTTGATCTAGCGCCACCATCACAATGGAGAAGAACGTGCTGAATGGAGGCACTTATACCTACGATGATTATGGATCCGTCAACAATGATGACAAAACAGTGCTATATGAAGATCACGTAAGTTCATTATAGAACTACTCCCTGTCTGTTGGAACAATACTTTATTTAAAGAGCCTTTTCTATGAAAAAAAATTGTAACAGTGTTTGACTTTTAAATTTTTGGGACCTGGTATATAGGTCTACCAGAATTCAGCAGAAGCTAGACCTATTGAATTTTAGGTAGACCTTCCTTGAGCCAGACAAAAAAATATACATGTTTCCTGTAACATGTAGGTAGGTAGGTAGGTAACAAATTTTATTTTAACAAATAATTTTATATAGTTAATAAAGGAGAGTGATCTTGACTTTGACGGTGCTTCTTTGAAATTGCCTTAAAAGGTTTAGGGTAGGAACAAAAAATAAGGGTAGTTAGGGTTACGGGAAACACCAAATATTTTCAGTTTGGCCTATAAACATTGAATGGTCAGTTTAAATCTTTAACTTTAAATCTGAATGCTTTTATTTACGAAAATACATGACAGGTGGAGTAGCAGCTCTGTATACTTGGAGACGGGGATTAATAGAAATAGAAAATTAGTACCCTTTTATGAAATAGGGGAAAACATGCGCTGTAATTGCATGACCAGTGTCCAGCGAGGGCTGCAGGCCAGAGCCAGGGGGGAGTACAAGAGGGGGCCATCGATCATCTTTATTTTTCAAATACATATATTTATCAAAAATGCTTCAAATTGACTAGTTTGTATGCATAGGAATAAAGGGTCTGTGTGAATGATATGATATTGTTCATACCTTAAACAGGGTTAGCTGTACACATGTAGACAGTGTCGTAAAATATCAGTAGTGACAACATGAACACAGGAAAAATGCAATAAAGTACTGTCATGGAACTGAAGGAAAATTAATTAATAATTAAAATAAATCACCAGGATATGAAGCATGGCAATGATTAAAGAGATTAAACGGAGCAAGAATTTCATTGTACTTTAATGTAAATTACTCTCCCTTCAGTCAAAAGTTTTGTTGGCCTGACAATCTTTCAGGCATGACTGAATAGACTTTCCATTTTTCAGTAGACTGATTTCTCCACAGGGTCTCAGACCAGGCCCTAAGGCATCTTGATTATACACACTGTCTTTGAGAAGACCCTCAGGACCTCTTGTTTCTACACAGTGTCTTTGAGCAGACCCTTAATTAGGACCTCTTGTTTCTACAGTGTCTTTGAGCAGGCCCTCAGGACCTCTTGTTTCTACACAGTGTCTTTGAGCAGGCCCTCAGAACCTCTTGTTTCTACACAGTGTCTTTGAGTAGGCCATCAGGACCTCTTGTTTCTACACAGTGTCTTTGAGCGGGCCCTCAGAACCTCTTGTTTCTACACAGTGTCTTTGAGCAGGACATCAGGACCTCTTGTTTCTCCAGGGTGTCTCTGACCAGGCCCTCAGAACCTCTTGTTTCTACACAGTGTCTTTGAGCAGACCCTTAGGCCTCTTGTTTCTACACAGTGTCTCTGACCAGGCCCTCAGAACCTCTTTTTTCTACACAGTGTCTTTGAGCAGGCCATTAAGACCTATTGTTTCTCCAGAGTGTCTCTGAACAGGCCCTAAGGACCTCTTGTTTCTTGTCTCTTTCTGGGCCTTTTCAGCCTTGTTTCAGCATCAAGTCAGGAACTGATCAATTGCAGGAGAGTATGGCCACTTAACTGTGTAACTCTGTAACTGCCAGTTTATCTAAATTGTTCTATTATCGGAAGGATAATTAGGTTTGTACTTCATATTGTGAATGTCAAACGAGCATACGTCTACAGTCTGTAAACAGTATCTTGTAGAGCCAACATACAAAACCCCTTTGAAATCAATTACACAGACTATTCTGGACACTGCCTTAACCTAAAATTGTTATGGATTTAGATCAACAACATCCAAGTCCAAAGCCTGAGGATTTAATATTTTATGATGATCGGTATGTTTTATTATGGCTAGTACATGTATATATAATACTTGATAAAAGGGTAAATCTGTAAATGCTGACAGCTATGTTGTATAATTTGTCTTTGAAGTATAATCACAAACATTGATTTTGTATAGAATTATTGGTTGAAGGCATATGTTTATGACGAACACATGTGAAATATTTTGTATATGTGGCTGTTTATTGGCTTGATTATATTTGATATACAAAAAACACAGTGTTCAATGAGATATTGTTTTCCCCATTAGTGCTTTACCTTTCAGGGGTGAACTGTTCCACTAGTCTGACATCCGGGGCTAGTAGATTTAATGTTAGCCCTTGTGAACATTTTCAGGATTAATCATTGAAATATAGGTTGGACTAGGAGACTTTTTCAAGAATCTTGAAAAAGTCTCCTAGTCCAACCTATATTTCAATCAAGATCAATCATTTTGAATCTGGAATGGTACACCTTTGCCTTTCCCTAGGGATAGTGCATGTGTAATGTCATCATTCAATAATCATCCCCTCAGACCTGACTGATAGTTAGTCTGGCCAGATCTCAGTGTTATAGAGTAAGTCAGGATGTCACTAGTAGTGAAAAATATTCTGCCGCATCCATACTGCTGTGAATCCAACAACAACTCGGTTTATCAAAGCATGTAAGAATGTCAATGATAACTGAATAGACTGCCATGATCCAGTGTGTTCTGGTCATCCACAGGAGCCTGTGTAAATAAAATCCTCAGATGAACGGTTCTAATCCACCTACACACGCCTAGCATAAGCTGGTACACAAGCAGTTCAATGGCATATACATTAGCAGGTGTGCGATGCTGTCTTCAGTGCCTTGTGTCAATAACTGAATGTGTGTACATCTACCATGAAGTACCTGGTAAATATAATTAGCAGCCACATTTTCTGGCTGTCAATACAAAAGAGTTTAATTGCACCCACATGTCAGATCGGATACAGTAGCTATAGGTGTAGGTATATATATATATATGTATGTTCTTCAAAGGGGGATTTTCCGAATAAGATCATAGATTTTATTGGATATATTTCCATAGCAACCACAGGGATATCTACACATGGTTACACTTTTAAGAATCACCTTTTTGAAGGTATGAAGGCGTTGGTTAAATAGTTTAAGACTATGGACCTTTATAGTACAGGTAACATTAGTTTAAGATTAAAGTTTGTGGAGACCTTGCATAATTGGGTGTAGTTATTAAGACTGCAGACTGTTTGTACTTTAAGATAGTTGACCATGAAGGTATTGGTTGTAGTTTAAGATGATTGGTTGGTCGTTGAAGATGGTAGATCTCAAAGACCTTGGTTGTATATAGTATTAGATGATTGGTTGGTCCTTGAAGATGGTAGATCTCAAAGACATTGGTTGTATATAGTATTAGATGATTGGTTGGTCGTTGAAGATGGTAGATCTCAAAGACCTTGGTTGCATATAGTATTAGATGATTGGTTCTAGTTTAAGATGGAAGGTATCAAAGACCTTTATTGCTTGTATATATATAGTTTTAAATGATTGGATGTAATTAAAGACATGTAGATTTCCAAGACCTTAGTGGTACAGTATAACCTGTCTAATTCGGATGTCATGTGGACCAAATTATCTGGCCAGTTTACACAGGTGTCTGGTTTATACAGGGTCGGCATGTCATTTTTTTTTTGAAAATACAAAAATGTAGTGTTTTGCATACAAGCTGTATACAAGTGTGTCAACATAAACAACAGAGAAATGAGTCAATTGCAATGTTTAATTATTTACAAAATACACAGTATATAATACAAATAAAGGGCAACCCGACATTGGATAGTGCTAATTTGAAATTTGAAATTTCAGGACTGGAATGAAAAGGTTGTTTTTACATGGATTGCTATGCCAACTTTTGTGAAACAGTGCCGGTTTTCGGAATGGACAGGGTCTTGTTTATACAGGGTTTAACTACAATGATTATATAGGGAATATGTCGGGACCACAAATCACAGCCAGGTTGAGACGGGGATTACAGTTTAGACACGTTATACTGTAGTTTTTGATGACTGGGTCTAGTTTAAAATGGTTGGTCTCGCAGACCATAGTTGTAGTTTCAGATTATTGGTTGTAGTTTAAGAAGGAGATCTCAAAGATCATTGTGGTTTAAGACATGTAGATCGCAAACATCTTGGTTGTATTTTAAGTTGATTGGTCGTACCTGTAGTTTTAGATTGTATATCTCATAGACATTGGTTGTAGTTTAAGTTGATTGGTCCTACCTGTAGTTTTAGATTGTATATCTCATAGACATTGGTTGTACCAGTAGTTTAAGATTGTATATCTCATAGACATTGGTTGTACCTGTAGTTTAAGATTGTATATCTCATAGACATTGGTTGTAGTTGAAGTTGATTGGTCCTACCTGTAGTTTAAGATTGTATATCTCATAGACATTGATTGTACCTGTAGTTTAAGATTGTATATCTCATAGACATTGGTTGTACCTGTAGTTTAAGATTGTATATCTCATAGACATTGGTTGTAGTTTAAGTTGATTGGTCGTACCTGTAGTTTTAGATTGTATATCTCATAGACATTGGTTGTAGTTTAAGTTGATTGGTCGTACCTGTAGTTTTAGATTGTATATCTCATAGACATTGGTTGTAGTTTAAGTTGATTGGTCGTACCTGTAGTTTTAGATTGTATATCTCATAGACATTGGTTGTAGTTTAAGTTGATTGGTTGTACCTGTAGTTTTAGATTGTATATCTCATAGACATTGGTTGTAGTTTAAGTTGATTGGTCGTACCTGTAGTTTTAGATTGTATATCTCATAGACATTGGTTGTAGTTTAAGTTGATTGGTCGTACCTGTAGTTTTAGATTGTATATCTCATAGACATTGGTTGTAGTTTAAGTTGATTGGTTGTACCTGTAGTTTTAGATTGTATATCTCATAGACATTGGTTGTAGTTTAAGTTGATTGGTCGTACCTGTAGTTTTAGATTGTATATCTCATAGACATTGGTTGAAGTTAAGATGATTGGTTGTACCTGTAGTTTAAGATTGTATATCTCATAGACATTGGTTGTAGTTTAAGTTGATTGGTCGTACCTGTAGTTTTAGATTGTATATCTTATAGACATTGGTTGAAGTTGAAGTTGATTGGTTGTACCTGTAGTTTTAGATTGTATATCTCATAGACATTGGTTGTGGTTTAAGTTGATTGGTCGTACCTGTAGTTTTAGATGGTATATCTCATAGACAGTGGTTGTAGTTGAAGATAGTAGATCTCAAAGACATTGGCGTACCTGTAGTTTAAGATTGTATATCTCATAGACATTGGTTGAAGTTAAGATGATTGGTTGTACCTGTAGTTTAAGATTGTATAACTCATAGACATTGGTTGTAGTTTAAGTTGATTTGTCCTACCTGTCGTTTTATATTGTATATCTCATAGACATTGGTTGTAGTTCAAGTTGATTGGTCGTACCTGTAGTTTTAGATGGTATATCTCATAGACAGTGGTTGTAGTTGAAGATAGTAGATCTCAAAGACATTGGCGTACCTGTAGTTTAAGATTGTATATCTCATAGCCATTGGTTGTAGTTTGAGTTGATTGGTCGTACCTGTAGTTTTAGATTGTATATCTTATAGACATTGGTTGAAGTTGAAGTTGATTGGTTGTACCTGTAGTTTTAGATTGTATATCTTATAGACATTGGATGAAGTTGAAGTTGATTGGTTGTACCTGTAGTTTTATATTGTATATCTCATAGACATTGGTTGTAGTTAAGATGATTGGTTGTACCTGTAGTTTAAGATTGTATATCTCATAGTCATTGGTTGAAGTTAAGATGATTGGTTGTACCTGTAGTTTGTAGTTTTAGATTGTATATCTCATAGACATTGGTTATCGTTTAAGTTGATTGGTCGTACCTGTAGTTTTAGATGGTATATCTCATAGACAGTGGTTGTAGTTGAAGATAGTAGATCTCAAAGACATTGGCGTACCTGTAGTTTAAGATTGTATATCTCATAGACATTGGTCGTACCTGTAGTTTAAGATTGTATATCTCATAGTCATTGGTTGAAGTTAAGATGATTGGTTGTACCTGTAGTTTAAGATTGTATAACTCATAGACATTGGTTGTAGTTTAAGTTGATTGGTCGTCCCTGTAGTTTTAGATTGTATATCTCATAGTCATTGGTTGTAGTTTAAGTTGATTGGTCGTACATGTAGTTTTAGATTGTATATCTCATAGACATTTGTTGTAGTTTAAGTTGATTGGTCGTACCTGTAGTTTTAGATTGTATATCTTATAGACATTGGTTGAAGTTGAAGTTGATTGCTTGTACCTGTAGTTTTAGATTGTATATCTCATAGACATTGGTTATCGTTTAAGTTGATTGGTCGTACCTGTAGTTTTAGATTGTATATCTCATAGCCATTGGTTGTAGTTTGAGTTGATTGGTCGTACCTGTAGTTTAAGATTGTATATCTCATAGACATTGGTTGTACCTGTAGTTTTAGATTGTATATCTCATAGACATTGGTTGTAGTTGAAGATAGTAGATCTCAAAGACATTGGTGTTGTAGCTTATATGGTAGATCTAGACCATAAAGATATCAGTTGCAGTTTAAGACAATGGACCATGTAGGTATTATTTATAGTTTAACTTTATGGCCGCGAAATTGAAGTCATCTTTAACTTGTAGCATATGTGTCATCTTTTTCGTGTACTTAATGTTATCACTCACGGAAGTCAATTTGTGAGGTCCACGTTAATACCTAGTAACAACAATCATGCACCAGCCCGCCTAGGAAAAGAAAATCAATTGAAAATTTTATGTCCTCTCTGGTCGATATCTCATTAGCTGGCAATCTTCCAGTACAAGTTATTATTACAGTGCTGCAAGCTGTACCTCATGGTTTTGTCATCATCTCAATAAAAGTCAGTTTATTTATATAACATCAGCAGATACTTTGACCAGGGAAAATCCTGGAATTTGAGAGCAGCGGGCCATTTCAACAAGTTTTAGTCAATATCAAAATCAAGAGGTGCCATTCTAGGTAAAATTAATAAAAAAAATGGAACATGGAGGGGTCAATTTCAGGTATGAGGGGTCATTGGCCCTAGGGCCCCCTCAAGGATTATCCCTGCTTTCACGTTACTTCATGAAAAAGGAGCTTATATTAGCAGACCAGTGTAGTCTTGTAGGCTACAGTGTGTCATGGGCAAACGTGTTATGTCTGTGGTACGAAGTAATGAAAAACAGTGGATCGACACGATTGAGGTATTATAGCTACCTGAATTGAAGATGATGTTTCACTATAAACATAATCGCACCCATAAATAAAATTTTGACATACATTAAGTTCATTTTTGAATTGTTACAGTACATGATAAAACCAGGGGTTGGGTAATTACCCATAGAAAACAATATGCTAGAGTGCCCAGCTTAAGCAGACTTGTGCTGATCAATATAACATTGAGGCCACATACATGTATATATATACTTCATGCAATGGAATGGAGGTCCAGCTGGTGGAAGATGATTTGATCATGCAGTATAAGTCAAGTCAATGAAGTACAGTTGCTGACCCATTGACAATGTATTATACATGTATATATGCATGGCCTCACTGTACAGTAGTGATTTGTGATCAGTGATCAATAGCTTTATCATTTATTCAACGAGTCAAAATTACACAATTTACTGTTATCTTGAACCATTAATAATGAACCTGAAATCACAGCTAAAACTTGAGCTTTGTTATTCCGAAAAACTATAATAGCAATTGCATCAGTACAACTACTATGCAAACAAAAATACATTGCAAAAAGCTTTTTCACAGATAACTGCATTTTACTATGAGGACATTGAGGTGGTTTTTTTTGCTGGGGTTTGATTTTGGCATTTAAAAGCATCAAGTTCAACATCTCCATTGCCAAATTTTATTTAAGACATTTTAGTCCTCCCTCAATAATATGTGTATGAAACATCAGTTTTATTCTTTAAATTGCTAAATCAATGTCAAAGAAGCAAGAAAAGTCGCTAGAACACATGTCTATCCCAGTCACATTAATTTTTCGAACCACAAATCAAATTACAGCTTTCGGCAGTGGTACAGGATCCTTATAGTTGTGGTGAATGAATTTGAACCTCGTTTTCTGAAAGGAACCTAGTATTATACAGATCAAGACAATAACATCTTTTTGGGTAGAAATGCAGGCCCCCACTTAAGTAACACTTTTAACTTTTCTTTTTTCCTGTTTTAATAAGCAACTCTTACCATGCTAACCAAAATTGGTGTCATTAACCATTTGTAAGGGGACAGCGGTGGCCAAGTGGTTAAGGCGTCTGACATTTTGCTAGCACTATCCCCTCCACCACTGGGTCATGGCTTCGAAATCTTTGTGCATGGGGCAGTCGCAAGGTACTGGCCATAGGTGGTTTTACTCTGGGAACCCTGGCTCTCTGCCACCACCACCAAAACCTGACACGTCCTTCAATGACCATAGCTGTTAATAGGACAACAAACACCAACACACCAAACCAAACCATTAAACATTTTATGGTCTTAAACAGGTAGTTATTTTCAGGGTTGTATCAAAATCCAAAATGACCATACTGTCATTTGAATTTACTGAGTTATTTCTTTGCTAATTCTAATTTCTACCAAATCAAAAGGCTAGTTAGACAAAAAAAAATACACACGCAAGGAAGTTTGTGGTTTGGAGTGCTAGTTAAAGGTTCCATTGACTATAAATAGTGTCTGTTCATCACTCTATAATAGATTGTCTTCATCACATATCCATTGAAATCAGTCTTCATCACATATCCATTGAAATCAGTGTACTTGTCTAGAACTTGGATATATCTCAAATGAGATCATCTTTCAGTGTGCTCGCTGCAAGGTGAAGGTCATTGTTAATTAAGTTACTTTAAATATGTATTTTGTTTCTGCTGTAAAAGGCTCATTGACAATCTTGTTTTCTCAAAACTTGGTACAAGTGCCAAACACTTTTTAAATATTAAACAAGTTTGTGTTTCTGAGTTCTTTCTAAAGGTCAAGGTCACTGTTATTTATGATTTTATGTGGTCCTCCTTGCAATTGCCCTGTAAGGAGGCTACTTTATGATCGCAATTAACCCATTAACCCCTGAAGTCACATTTGAACCTTACCAAATCAAAGACTGGGCAAGTCCAGTTTAAATATGTAAGGGTGAATGAGTTAAATAATCAATGTATTGACAGTTTATATTTGCTCAGCTGATGTCAAATGTTGAGTTAAGTTTTCTTGCAACGATAACAATGTACTGTGATAGTTTAAGTTCTAGCATTTGGATATATATTTGCCTTGTGACTCTTTAATCTGATTGCATTTTTTTGTGGTGAGGAATTTTTCACATTGACAGGGTTCTGAAATAAAGATTCTGTATATCTATAGTTTATATAATCCATAAACATCAGTCCGCCTGAAGAAGCCAAATAAGGTAGAAATTAGGCCTGGCGGTCAGTCTTGTATACTTTTTATTTTATCCATAAAATATGTTTTCCTATTTTTTTTGCATTTATTCACCCAATGTAAAGAATGACAGATTTTCCACACAGTGAATAAACCTGTAATACATGGATTACATTCTTGTCACCACTGATGCCATTTCTTATACCTGTGTCAAAATATCAGTTACAAACCAAACAGTGCATACCAGACATATATATATATTGTATATTTTATGCTCGTTGTAATTGGGAAAAGGGGTCTACATTATGAATTCACATGCATGAAATGTTATTTTGGTAAGGTTGGATATTAACTGGGTATTGATTGCTTTTCTTTTATCTTGAAGAGTTCTGATGATGGTGGGATTGAAATTGGAGCTCGTCCCTATTCCCCGGGGGATGACCGCGGCTGCTTCTTCAAGGATGGCTACAGACGGATAGGTCAGGCATATATATATATAACCAGGGCCCGTATTCATGAAACTGTTATCATGCTCAAGTATGGATTCTGTGCTCAAGCCAGCTTTCTTGTAACCCACCTAAATCATGTCAACGATCAAAAAGTCAAATTTAAAAATTGAAAACAGTATTCGGCTTCAAGTTTCTTCAATTTTTGTCCAAAACTTTTAACAATTTTTGTTTTTAAATAATTTATAACTGGGACAAGAAATCAGACTTGAGCACAAAATTCATGCTTGAGCATGAGAACGGTTTCATGAATACGGGCCCAGGGGTCCTGGTTATCTTATAATTACTATAACATGTGTTTCAATTTTATTTATCTGGATCATCCATAGTATTAAGTTCAAATTTTTCTCACCCAATTAAATTTGTTTGTTTTGTCATGTTGGTAGTACTGTATACTGTGACATTTTTGCTGCAACTTAATTTCCGCCTTTTTCGCCTTCCGTAATGAGGGTAAATTTACCATTACAATGAATATTTGTAAACAATATAATTTACATAGTAATCAAATGTGAAGGGCGAAATTAATATTGAGCGAAAATGGACTTTACCGTTGAAGGGAAATTTGACTGATAGAATATTTCCCGGTATACATTATATAAGATGGTATTTTAAATCCTGAAAATTGTAAGCTAAAACTTAAAACTTACCTTCCATTATAATAATGTATGATTGATTACTATACCTTGAGTTATGACTACAGCCTCTTGTACCCAGTGAAATCTGTCCATAAGCATACAGTACATTGTCACGTCAGATTTTGATAACCATCCATTAATGTCCGTATCGTGGATGTTACAGACTTTATATTAGTATACGAAGAGGAGGTGGAGAAGAAGGTGAAAAGCAACAGTGTTGAGATTGAAAAATTGGAGAAATGGCGTGCCAAGTTTCTCAATAACATCCGTAAAACAGGACTGGAAATTGAGGAGGTAGGAATGTTTGTGGTGGATACTGAGTTGGTTTTACCAATGGTCTCACCTGGTCCAAAGGACTGAAGTTAGCTTATGCCATACTCTGCTGTGTCATTTGTCCATTAGTAAGTCTGGTGTAGGTCTGTCCATCAGCAATTTCGCAAACAACTTCTTCTGAACTGTGAAAGGAATTTCACTATTTTTGGAAACATCCTTAGGTAATAATGGTGAATCAAAATTAAAGAAATAGAGGGAAGGCTGAGGGGCAAGCCATAAAGGGTAATTTGGCCATATCAGCCATATCTCAGGTGGGGAAGTTTCAAAATTGCATAAATGAAGGGGCTTGTCCTTCCAAGGGGCTGGACCAAAAATCGGTAATTTAGTCATATTGCTTTTAGTGACTTGTTTTCTTGTACTTTGAGATCTATATTGGCTCTATTAGATTGGAAGCTTTTCAGATGGTAGAGATTTAAAATTGTACAAATAAAGGGGCTGACTGATAGGGACTGAGGGGTGGTGCCAAAAAAGGAGAATTTGGCCATATTGCTTTAAGCAACTTCCCCGATGGAATTGTGTGATGCATAATGATATCAGCCATGTTTAGTTAGGAGAATTCTTAGGTATGGTTAATCAGAAATGTAGAAGCAAAGGGGCTGACTCCTAGGAGTCGTCTGAGGGATGGAGCCTAAAAGGAAATGGTTGAGATCATTTGCAATGTTACTTTTAATAAATCGATACAACAGTATGTACGGCTGTTTAATTTTTCTGAACCGTTATAGCTTTGTGTAATGTTGATCTTTATATTACAATAAAGCTCGTGTCAATTTTGTTTCGGGAGACAGATCTATGTAAGCAGTTTGCTTGTTTGTAAAATTCTTTTTATTGTTGATATTTTTTATACAAACCTGAGCAGCTGATTACTGACTTTAGCATCATTGGTTGTTTTTGCTCATTGTTTATTTGTCATGTTACAGGAACGGGTGCAAAGTAAGAAAAAGATTACCACTTTTATAAAATTGCACGCTCCCTGGGATGTATGCTGTTTCTATGCTGAGGACCTGTGTATGAGGGCCCCTTTACAGGTAAAATAACTTAAGGGCTCTGTTAGGTCAAACTTGAGATTACAACCTACAGGTAGCGTTATAAATTAGAAAAAAATGTAGAATTGTTGAGATTTGGACAAATTTTAAAGCAACATTATTAAAAAGAAATTAATACAAGAAAATTGATTTTGGCACAGAATCCATGCTTGAGCATGAATTCAAATTGTTTTATTGATTTGGGCCAAAAAGTGATGAAAGAGGGGTTCCTATATCCAGTAAAGAACTGGTTCCTATTTTCTATAGTGGTTAAGAACGAGTTCCTATTTTCTATAATGTTAATGGATTAGTTCCTAGTTTCCTTTGTGATAAAGGTCTGGTTTCTATTTCTGATTGACATTCTGTATTTCAGGCCCACCCTAACCCGTCAGACAACTGGTCAGACAAGGTGCTCACCACTCTGAAGATCCCTAACATGATGAGTGCACACGTCCCCAATCCTCCCCTTGACTACTACACCTGTGTGTTCAAAAAGTCAAAGCTAGACAGGTGAGTGGTCTTTTGGAAAATACCTGAATTTAATTACACTTCTAAAGATTAATTCAGTGAGTATATAAACATATTGTTGTGTATCAATCCTGACGGAAATATGTGTTGATTAAATAGAGCCACAAGGATGTGCTTGTATTGACAGGTATCAGCTGAAATTGATTCAGTCCCTGATTCTCCTATTGAGTGTCAAAGCTATATGGTCTTTGAAAGTTGACCTAGTACAGATAATTCATCTTGTGTGATCAAATTCACTCCGCAAAATCAGCATTTGAATAGTAAGATAAACATTCATCTAGTTTTATCAAAATTTTCTTGAGCAAGATCAGAATTTGCCTAGAAACATCAAAAATTGCCTGTCACCTGGTCCGAAGGACCTGTGTGCTAGATTATGCCATGGCGTGGCGTCTGTCGTCCGTCAACTTTTCCTGCAAATCGCTACTAGTCATGAACGACGAAGCAGATTTTGACCAACTTTGGTCAGAAGCATCCTTGGGAGAAGGGGAACACATTTTGTATAAATGGTGGGTCTGGCCCCCCTAGCGGCATAGGGGTAGCTTGCCCCAATAGGGGAAATATAGCAAATTCTTTAAAATCCTTCTTCTTCTGTAGGAATGAAAGGATTTGTTCCATATTTTGTCTGAAGCATCTTCGGGTGAAGGGGAACCAATTTTAAATAAACGGTGGATCTGGCCCCCCTGGGGGCTGAGGGCGGGGCCAATAAGGGAAATAGAGGTAAAACCTTTATAATCCTTCTTCTATCATAGGGATTAAGGGATTTTATCCTAATTTAGTCTGGAGCATCCTTAGGCCAAGGGGACTCAATTTTGTATAAGCAGTGGGTGTGGTCTCCCAGAGGGCAGAAGAGCAGGCCCAAAATTTTGTATAAGCAGTGGGTGTGGTCTCCCAGAGGGCAGAAGAGCGGGCCCAATAGGAGAAATAAAGGTAAAACATTTAAAATCATTCTTCGACCATTGGGATTGAGGGATGTTATCCTTATTTAGTCTGGAGCATCCTTGGGCCAAGGGGACTCAATTTTATATAATTGGTGGGTATGACCAATCCTAGGGGCATAAGGGTGGGGCTCTGTTTCAAGTTTGTTCTCGCTATATCTCAAGTACTGGATGGATCTTTTCGAAATTTCCTACAGCACCTACCATGGAGTGCTATATTTTTACTTCATACCAATTATTTTAAACATATTCAGGTGAGCGATAAGGCCCTGTGGGCCTCTTGTCAATGGCCATATAACACCTTGAGTGAAGCACATGGGTCTTTCATTCTGTAATTTACACTACGTGTTTACCATAGGTTCCTTGGGAGTGATAACCACGACACATACTTCTCAAACACCCAGAGGACCCGGGTCGTAAACGAGGTCTTGGGCCGCACAGCATATGGCAAGCGGAAGCGGGCTGAAATTGGGATTGACAGATTGTTGGAAGAAAATGTGTTCAAGGGAGCCTACCCCCTACATGATGTAAGTACCCAAGGTCAGACCAAACGTTGCACCATATATTGTAACAGATTAATTACATTCATATAAACAGAGTAATTGCCCTTTGTACTGTATATAGTGTTGCCATAATATACTACTGTAAAAATGGATTTTTGTGTGTGTGTAGAAATGTTTGCAGTGTGACTCTTTTCACTGATCATGGTGTGGCCTAATTTCCTTTGCATTTGCAGTGGTTCTGGAATCTATATCATTCAAAATTCTAAAAATAAATATTTGCATGTGGATATATTTGCATGTGGATATATTTTCATGTATTTTCATGTGGATATATTTTCATGCTAATTTACTCCATGATGAACTTGAGAATTTTCACACAGTGAACATTTTCTCTTTTACACTCTATACAAAGTGTCCTGGATATTTGCCAACCTAGATTTCCTGACTGTTTTCTTGCAGGTATCATAAAACACCTCAAATCAGCAAGAACATTTCCATCTTCACTCCAGAAATCAAGATTCTTGCAATATCAAACTCCGCTCAAACTTATTTCAGTGTTTGGGACTTGCATTCTGTTTTGACATATTTCTAGGTGTTAGGAATGGTAAAGAATATACCTCAACATGTCGTTTGTTACCTGTGTGTGTTACAGGGACCGTTTGAGGTGCCCAAACACTTTGTGGCGCCCGAGTCACTGAGTGCCCGGCAGATATTGTACCATTACTGGGCCCGCTGGGGAGTGTGGTATAAGTACCAGCCCCTCGACCACATCCGAGAGTACTTTGGAGAGAAGATTGGCATTTACTTTGCTTGGCTAGGTAATTATTTCTACAATTCAATTACCAGAAAATGAAACACAAAGATAATATATTAGCAATTTGTTGGTATGATAAACAGTAAAAGATTATTGTATTTGTATAAATTGTCAACTGTTTGGCCATACATATATACTGTTAATATTTCTAGGGTATTGTTAGTCTGAAGCATAAGAGCTACGATAGCTATAGCTGTGCTTCTTGATTGATCACAAGGTATACTTATACTTGTTCCATGGTCTGAGACAAGAAGACAAATTCAAATGTCATGTCATCGTAAATTCTCTAAAAATAATATTTCAAATCCTAGAGAACGTTCATATAATAAAGACAATGATATATTACAGGGTTCTACACTGCCTGGCTGTTACCCGCAGCAGTGGTTGGGGTCATCGTGTTCTTGTATGGAATCATCACGTGGTCCGGTAACACTCCTGGGTAAGTGTTTGTCACTGTCAGCTAAAGACATTATGTATATACTATATGTGTACCTTAATCAGCTGGATCACTGTGCGTGTGAATGGATTAGGATTACTGACTTACCAAACAAGGAACATACTTTTTAAGGAAAAAAACCATAAGGAACATATTGGTTTATGTTTTTACAGGTCTAGTAAAATAAGGAGGATATATACTTTGTGTGAGAAGTTTAGAATACATGATTTGTGCCAAAAGAAAGAAGATTAAATATTGACAAGCTATTATTTTGTCTGTTTGTAGTAATGAAGTATGTGACAGTGGTCAAAAGTACAAGATGTGCCCGCTGTGTGACGAAGATATCGGCTGTGCCTATTGGTACCTGTCAGACGTCTGTATCTACACTAAGATTGCCTATCTGTTTGATCACCCTGCGACGGTTCTATATGCTGTGTTTGTATCATTCTGGGGTAAGTACATGAATTAACTATCTCGGAACAAAGGCTCATGGAGTATTCTTGAAAACCAACCAGGGCCACACCCATCCCCATTTACATGGTTTTCAGTTGTTTTGCTGTCTGATATACCCATGTCCTACACTATTCTTTATTAATCCCTTACCAGTTAAGTTCAGACGACTATAGGGTTGTTTTTATGTCTGTCCGATATATTCATTTTGGACAAATTTGGACATGATTTCTCGACAGGTGTTTCCTGTAGGTTCTAGGGAAGAATAGGCTGCTGTATCTACTACATATATGTTGGAGACTGCTAATGTGGGTCCCCAGCACAATCATTAATTTCTCCCCTGTCTTCTGCTAATTAGGACACATTGCAGATATCAAATGTTACCTGCTGCTCTCTCATCTGCCTGAAAACCTTCATGTTTCCTAGTGCCTTGCTTGGCAATACCTCACTTTTTGCCTTATGGTTGAGCATTCGCCCAAGTTGGGTTGGCAATGGTCTCCAGGCCGGGACATACAAAAAGTCCTTAAAAATGGCAGTTGTTATTCCCTGCTTTACGTTCAGCATTTAGGGTTATCACAACAGCTGGTTTACCCATTGTCAGTGTTATGTGACTGGATTGAATACTATGTAGGGTGCCTTCCGCATTGTATTTCAATGAGGTAGCACTTTAAAGTCTGGTTCCGATCCTCGCTTAAATAACTTGACTATGTTTTCCTTACAAATCTAATAATAATAATAATATACAACATTTATATAGCGCCCTATATAATTTGTAAAATTATTCTAAAGTGCTTAACATCATATTGATAATAGTATTATTTATAATTGTGAAACAAAAACAAAGGCTTACAATCACTTTAATACATTAAGCAAGCAGATTATCATCACAACGTACACATGAATGAATAAATAAAGGTTCAAGGTCATAGCTAAGTGTCAAGTTATTGTAATGCTGCAAGTCCAGTTTTGGTGAGCCAGTATGACTTGCACCACAAGTTCACTTTTAAATAATGTCCCAGTTTCCAGGCTCTGCACACTTTATGTTATATTTCAGCGGTAACATTCCTGGAATACTGGAAAAGGAAGAATGCTTCGCTGGCTCACCACTGGGACGTGATGGACTTTGAGGAGGAGGAAGAACGTCCCCGCCCTGAGTACACGGCCAAAGCCACAAAGTATGAGAAAAATCCTATCACAGGTGTCAAGGAGCCTCATTTCCCCCAGCGGGATCGCATCCCCCGCATCCTGTCTGGTATAGCAGCCATCGTTATAATGGTGAGTGACTGCTGTGATGCTTTTTCCCGCGGCGGCGACATAAAGTTTTTGCATTTAACTGCATTTCGTTTCACTGAAAATATAAGTGCTAGACCAACCAAACTTGGACCATAGATGCATTATAAGTTGTGTATCGCAACCTATACATCCAATGCTGGATGCAGCCTACCATTCATGGTCCATTGATTTTGTCAACATTAAGTTTTTGCATTTAAGTAAGTTTCTCTGATATGTGCATTGATGCACAGGTGAAAGATATCAATCCGAATTGCTTGTTAGTTCATCTAACATGATTTTTTGGTTTGTTTGATTGAATTACTTTTATTTATATCCAATGTCACGGGGTTAAACGTGTCAAAATTGAAGAAGAAGAAAGAAAAGAAAAAACAGGTAAGCAGCTAATGCCTGTGGGCCTCTTTTTATGTTTTCTAGATGGCGCTGGTGTTGATCTTCATCGTGGCTGTGATTATGTACCGCGTGCTGATCAGTATTCCGCTGTTCCAGAGTCAAACCCTACGACCAAAAGCTGCACTTATTGCTAGTTCCACCTCTGCTGTAGTTAATCTTATTCTAATTATGGCGCTCGGCAAAGTGTACGAAAAATTGGCCCTCAAACTCACTCAGTGGGGTAGGTATTACAGCTTGCTCTGAAATTGAATAATAATAATAATATACAACATTTGATATAGCGCCCTATCTAGCTAACATAAGCCACTCTAAAGCGCTTTACAGTACATAGATATACAATTATGAATCCTTCAGTTTGGTGTGAAAGCTCGCTATCAAACTCAGAGTAGGTAAAAGTTCATTTTGAAACTGAATCTTTAAGATAGATGGGAAAGTTCACTATCAGACCATTCAGTTTGGAATGTGAAAGCTTGTTCTGAAACTGAAGCTTTGAGAAAGACGTGAAAGTTCACTGTCAAACTCACTCGGTTTGGAATGTGAAAGCTTATTTTGAAACTGAATCTTTGAGAAAGACGTGAAAGTTCACTCTCAAACTCACTCGGTTTAGAATGTGAAAGCTTGTTTTGAAACTGAATCTTTGAGAAAGATGTGAAAGTTCACTGTTAAACTCACTCAGTTTGGAATGTGAAAGCTTGTTCTGAACTCAGTCTTGGAGATAAATGTCAAAGGTTACTATCAATCGCGGAAAGATAGGTATAGAAGCTCATTCTGAAACTCAATCTTTGAATTAGACATGAAAGCTGACTATCGAGATCGCTCAGAGAGAGGTCATTTTTACATTTCTTAAACTTGTAGTAATTAGAAAAAAACCTCATAGAATGAATTTAAAAAAATCAGAAATATAATTAAGACTGAGCATATTGTAAATTTGATCTGGGATAATTGAAACAGTTTTCTTACAAAAAAATTCTTATTTTTAATGGAATTTTTTCAGAGATGCACCGAACGCAGACGGAATACGAGGACCAACTCATATTTAAAGTGTTCATTTTCCAGTTTGTCAACTTTTACTCCTCCATCATATACATTGCATTCTTCAAGGGGAGGTAAGTGAAATGTACATAGTTCATTCTTCAAGGGGCGGTAAATGAAATGTACATAGTTCATTCTTCAAGGGGAGGTAGGTGAAATGTACATAGTTCATTCTTCAAGGGGAGGTAAATGAAATGTACATTGTTCACTCTTAAAGGGGAGGGAAGTGAAATGTACATAGTTCATTCTTCAAGTGGAAATAGGTCTAATGTATTTGTCATTCTTCAAGGGATGGTGAAATTTATATATATTGCGGTCAATCTTCAAGGAATGGTAAATATCATGTTATTATGTATAGTCAGTCTATGACAAAATAACAACTTAAATAACTGTGTTCCACTGCAGGCAAAATGCCTCAAAATTCCTTAATGCCATATTTTGTGTTTAATATTCTGAGAGTAACTTTGTTTTATTGTACCAGAATTTATAAATTGGTTAGAAATGATGTGTAAATGAAATCAAAATTAATGTATTTTCAGATTTGTGGGATATCCTGGCCACTATGATAGGATGTTTGGTTTACGTAATGAAGAGGTAAAATTCATGTGTTCGTAGGTAGCAATATACAGTAGAAATGGCCCGACTCTGAAAAACAAGGCACATGTCGAGGAAATGTAAACACAGCGGATTTACCCTACACAACACATATATACATGTATATATATTTGTAAACTGCATTACATTTACAATACATATAAAGTACTGAGAAGTGTATAAACCTCTTTTTTCTATGTATGTCACTTGTGTGAAAACCATGGTTACCACATCAAAAATCACCAAAAAATGCAAAAAAAATGCTATTTTTGATCTAAAATTTGACCCCCGCAACTAGTTTTTTTTTTCCTCAGTTCTGTCTGAAATTAAAGATTACCTACTTGGTTGCAGAATTATCTTGGTCCCAGTAAAATTGTAAAACTTGATTTTTTGCAATTTTCCGTCGTGTGCTGTTGTCAAAATTTTACCTCCTGTAAAGCTAGCTTTGCATGTGTAGGCACCCTTTCGGATTTAGGCCAAAATTTTGGTCTCGAATTTTTTTTATTTTACAAATGTGAAGCTCACATAGCCCACTTCATGCTTATACCAATTTTAGTACAGTTTTATTTTTATATTTTTAAGCCGCTCTTGGCGAGAGCCGAGCGGCTTATTAATATTGTCCAGAGAAAGAAATGACGGACCCACTTCCGTTCGGGGTGCGTGCGCATACTTCAGTCTTGCATGCTTCCGCTATATAGTTTCGTAATCGCAAATAGAAAGTAGAATCTCTGACACTCACCTGTGGGTTACATAAAGTTTTCCGATACTCCTCTCCAAATAATAATCATTACCTTAAATAATTGCTGGAAAAAAAATGCTTATCTCCAGTGCATTCTACGAGTGTTATGGTGGTGAAATTTGTGCACTAAGTTTGAGCGTTTTAGCAACTCGGTTTGCGATCTGAGGAGTGTTACGCGTGTGAAACACATATGATTCGAGAAAGCACATGTGAAGACTGTCAAGCATTGACTCTGTCTGTAGAAGGAAGAAGTAAATATATATACTTATAAACCGTATGAGTGATGAAGTATAACCTCTATTTTGATGTTTGAAACGGGAACGTAATATGACATATCGTGCTTAGGTTGATAACGGTAATGGCTCGGAGACGAGACGATATGTGAACTGTGTATGCTTATCAAACATTTCTGTAACACAGCATGCTATTTCTGGTATATTGATTTATGAAAGTGTAACAATTTAAGAACATCAAACAACAGCCGCTGCTGTTTGACAAGAATTGGCGCCGTGTCAAAATAGTATCCAATTTGGGGTAAGGGAAATAACTCTTGCGTTGTTAAAGATACATTGAGAAATATAATTCAAATATATTCGAAGAACATTTGTAAGATTTTGTATATTCAATGACGGTAAATATAGTCGCTACATATATCAATAATTATAATTAATATGAATAAATAAAAATAAAAGGAGTACAATGTCTCTTTTCTCCATGCATGTTTTCCCACTACTGTTAATTATCCTTCATTTCACAAGCACAAAATGCACGTATTCTTTATTATCCATTCACCGATTGCAATTCTGCACTTAAATGCTCATGTCACATCATTGGAGGATGCTAATTAATGAAAATTACAGCAATGCATCACACTTAAAGAGGGTGAAAAAAGAGGAGAGGGAGAAATGTTTTTAAGGCATCATTTGGGAGGCGATTGATTTTGAAAATCCCAAAGGCAACATCATCACATGACCTGATTTTCAATTAGCAGAATACAGAACACATATCTGAGGTATTATAGTAGATATTGATGCTCAATGTGTTACTGAAGCAATTAAATTTAAAGTGGTGAGCGGCTGTAATGTCACACTGACATAGTTCTAGTTTTTACATATCATTATACAGGGGTTAGCCATTTAACAAAAATATCACCCATGGCCACAACCCTCTACTGTACACTGCTACCGTAGAAAGACTTTCTGTTTTTTATTTTATTGAGAAAAATTACAGTGTAGGACATGAATTAATTCGTAATATATGATTATTACTACATTTTCTTGCATAAATTTTGTTATGATTAAATCATTCCTTTTGTGTGTTACCTCACAAGCAATGAATTATATGTTACAAAGACTGACGCTACATTTTATTGTCAACTGATATTTATGTCACAAGTTAAGGACAAGTGACCTGACGTATACACACTGAAAAAAGCTTGTACACATTCCTGCAGGGATACTGTGATGGAAACTTGTCCACTTTAACATTTGCTGGTACTGTGTCGAATTGACAGTGGGTAAACCGAGGATGATGGCCCTCTGTGGTCGCGTTACTAGTGGGTCATAAAGGTTGCCCCCCCCTCTAACCACCTCCCCCCTCTAACCACCTCCCCCCTCTAGCCACCCCCCCCCTCGAACCACCTCCCCCCTCTAACCACCTCCCCCCTCGAACCACCTCCCCCCTCTAACCACCTCCCCCCTCTAGCCACCCCCCCCCTCGAACCACCTCCCCCCTCTAACCACCCTCCCCCCTCTAACCCCCCCCCCTCTAACCACCTCCCTTCTCCCAAAAAAAAATCAAAGGTGGACGGGGTTTGGGTTACAATTGTTTTAATACAGCTTTCTTCACTACTGTACCCCTCTCTCGACTGAGAACTTTAAATATTTACGTAATCTCTGACTCACACCTGACTTATAATACACTTGATCCTGTATCTGCACCCTAGATAGAGTTGGTGCAATCCCCCCCTTTTCCCAGCAGTTTCTTTATTGAATTATAATATATCAACCTTGTCATATCCAGACTCTGTTTGATATGGAAACCAGTGTTGTTTAAAATACCAATCTTGTATAAGATACCTGGTTAACAGGATTTGTTTTTTTATCTGACAGTGCAACAACGGTGGCTGTCTGATGGAACTCGCCCAGCAACTAGCTGTCATTATGATAGGCAAGCAAGTCATTAACAACGCACAGGAAATACTTGTACCGTAAGTTATCTATTTCACACATTGAAAAAATATTAACAACGGATAGAAAATACTTGTACTATAAGTTACCTCCCTTAGGCAAACAAAATCACATTTGCACTAGCTCATTCCATAAGTTACCTATAGTACCTAATTTAGTTACGTAATATCAAGTGATGAAAAGTCTAGAGCTGCTTGATTTGAACTTTGTTTTTAAATAAACATAACGTTGTATATTGTAAGTGAAACACCAGGGGGAACCCAATTAACCTTAAAACAAATGACACATTAAAAATGTATAATTTATCAGAGTCCGAGCCAATATGGTCACAGTTTTCGTGTAACTAAGACATCAAACCCTAATTCTGAACATTGTCATGTTGTTATTTCAGAAAATTAAAATTGTTCATCCATCGTTTGAAAGTGAATCTTGACAAAAATATGGTGAGGACCCGTTGGGAGGAAGATTACGAACTTCTGGATAATGAGGGACTTTTTGAAGAGTACCTAGAGATGGGCAAGTACACTGCGTATTTCATATATAGGTATCTAAGCTCTTTGTGTTCAAACTTCTATGTTGTATATGTATGTACTTCAGGTTGTGTAAATTATTACTTTATATCTTCTTTCAGTGCTACAGTTTGGTTTTATTACGATATTTGTGGCGGCGTTCCCGCTGGCCCCTCTGTTTGCCCTTCTGAACAACTGGGTGGAGATCCGCCTAGATGCCCAAAAATTTGTATGTGAGACACGGCGCCCTGTTGCTGATCGTGCCCAGGACATAGGCGTCTGGTTCTCAATTCTCGATGCTCTTGCCCAGCTAGCTGTCATTAGCAATGTAAGTTGGAACAGTAATCATAAGAACTGTAAAGTAAATGTAACTATCATACAGTAAATATTAGTGGTGTACAGTAAATAAGTGTTATACAGTAAATATAAGTGCTATACAGTAAATATTAGTGTTATACAGTGAACATAAGAGCTATACAGTAAATATAAGTGTTATACAGTTAACATAAGAGCTATACAGTAAATATAGGTGTTATACAGTGAACATCAGTGCTATATTGTAAATAAAAGTGTTACACAGTGAACATAAGTTCTCTGCATTAGATATAAGAGTATACAGTGAATATAAGTGCTATACAGTAAATATGAATGTTATACAGTAAACTACAGTGCTATACAGTAAATATAAGTGTTATACAGTGAACATAAGTGCCATACAGTGAATATAAGTGTTATACAGTGAACATAAGTGCTATACAGTGAATATAATCACTAAACAATATAACTGAAGTGCTGCAAGTGCGAGTGTTTTATATTAAACTTAATTACTGTACAGTATATGAGTAATTGTTTTCTATTTCAGGCATTTCTGATTGCATTTACATCGGAGTTTTTACCGCGACTATTATACCAGTACCACTATGACTGGAACTTAGAGGGCTACACAGCATTCTCCTTGTCTACCAGTCCAAATGGCACCCTCAACCAGACATGTCTGTAAGTGCTTGTTATCCTCCTTAAATGTAGGAATCTCAGATACAAAGCAGTGTAATGACACTGTCTTTTTTGGTTGATACAGCTTTAAACTTGAAAGGCTTATTGATTACTGTATACAAAGAAAATGTTGTCGCATTTTAAATTCCACTCTTTTCGCTGTCAACAATAATGGCAAATTGATCATGACAGCAAGAATTTGAAACTGCATATCCACATATAGTAATTACACGTGAAGGGTGAGATACAGGTTTTACTGATCAGTGCGTATATTTGACAGGACAGAAGTTTCTTTGTATTCAGTACATTGTAACAAATGGTTTTACTACACTATAGATACCGGGACTTGAGAGATGGTCACGGGAACCACACACTCTTTTACTGGAACCTTTTGGCCCTCCGTCTGGGATTTGTCATCATGTTTGAGGTAGGAACATACATACATTTCTCTCCTGCTTGAGGTACCTCTCTTGTTTGAGGTATCAGGAGTTTTGACACTAGGAACAATTCGTTACTTATTTTGTTTTAGGTAATAACATCAAGTTATTCAGAACAATGATGTCACCAGTGTTCCTATTGGCCTCTGTTTGTTTTGACACTTACTGGACAGTTTTGGACTAATATCCATTTAGCATAAAGTAATCGTTATTTTTCCAGAGTAGACTTTATGCAATTTTTCTCAAAGCTGGTTGCTTTTCGTTATGGTGACCATCCAATGCACCCCTGTATCAAGCGAAGCTAGACTACGTAGATCTGTTTAGGCTAAAGAATTCAATCTTGAAACTCTTGAGGGGGGGGTTAACTTGAAGACATGAGACTGAATCAGGTTGGAATAGACTGATAGTAAATAGTACCTTACTTTGTCCTTATTGAGGTCTGGTTTGGTGGTCACATAATAAATTCCTCTTTTTCACCTCCCCAACCATCAAAGATCATGGGTTTAGCACCCCTGGGAGTTGCTTAAGATTGGAATTAATAGCTTGCATGTGTCCCGAGTATACAAGTCCCTACAGTGCTCTTATAATCTTGGTGTTGCTTATTTTAGGGAGATACTAAATATTTTATTGGAAGAAGAAATATTTTTTGCTCACCTGGCCCAAAGTTCAATGTCCATTTACGCTGTGGTGACTGGTATGCTTATTTTGACTAAATGTGGTCTGGACCATTTCTAGGCCAATTACAGGAACTCTCAACATTGTATAAAGGAGGGTGTGGCCCTCAGGAAATAAGAAATAAATCCATAAAATCCTACTTCTTCAGTACAATCCTACTTCTTCAGTACTACATGGTTAACTGATTTTAACCTTATTTCATTTAGACCATCCTGTGCAGGCCAAAGAATTCAACATCGCATAAACCAAGGATGTTAATATTATATGTCAAAAGAAAGAGATTTAATCAAATTTAGTTGAAATGATCCCAGTGTCAAGGGGACTCTCCAAAGTATATATGGAAGGTTTGGTTTCACCAGTGATGTGGGCACAGGGGCGTGGTCCAAAATATAAACTCTGTCACAACTCAAACTAGTACTGTTGGCAGAGGGGCGTGGTCCAAAATATAAACACTGTCATAACTCAGACTAGTACTGTGGGCAGAGGGGAGTGGTCCAATATATAAACACTGTCATAACTCAAACTAGTACTGTGGGCAGAGGGGCGTGGTCCGGAATATAAACTCTGTCATAACTCAAACTAGTACGGTGGCAGAGGGGCGTGGTCCAAAATATAACCTCTGTCATAACTCAACCTAGTACTGTGGCAGAGGGGCGTGGTCCAAAATATAACCTCTGTCATAACTCAACCTAGTACTGTGGCAGAGGGGCGTGGTCCAAAATATAAACTCTGTCATAACTCAAACTAGTACGGTGGCAGAGGGGCGTGGTCCAAAATATAACCTCTGTCATAACTCAACCTAGTACTGTGGCAGAGGGGCGTGGTCCAAAATATAACCTCTGTCATAACTCAACCTAGTACTGTGGCAGAGGGGCGTGGTCCAAAATATAACCTCTGTCATAACTCAACCTAGTACTGTGGCAGAGGGGCGTGGTCCAAAATATAACCTCTGTCATAACTCAACCTAGTACTGTGGCAGAGGGGCGTGGTCCAAAATATAAACACTGTCATAACTCAAACTAGTAATGTGGGCAGAGGGGCGTGGTCCAAAATACAAACTCTGTCATAACTCAAACTAGTACGGTGGCAGAGGGGCGTGGTCCAAAATATAACCTCTGTCATAACTCAACCTAGTACTGTGGCAGAGGGGCGTGGTCCAAAATATAAACACTGTCATAACTCAAACTAGTTCTGTGGGCAGAGGGGCGTGGTCCAAAATATAAACTCTGTCATAACTCAATTTTAGCTTGTTCTCAGATTTTGTTTATTGTAATCTATTGATGGATATGAACTAGTTAGACATAAATTAAAACAAAAAGACTTATCCCAAACTTGAAATAGTAGACTGTTTTGACATTTTAAAGCATCTGGGTCTCTTTTGAGTGATCCAGGTAGGAAAATGAATTTCATCCTGAGTTAACCCTTTCACCCCTATGTAACTTTAGTAAACTTTAACATGCATTGATCTGGTTGAGTCCATTAAGGTCTGCAGTGGTGAAAGGGTTATGACTCGTAAAAGGTGGTTGGGTTTATTTTTAACAAGAAAAACGATTTCTTGGTATTCCTACAAAACTGCAATAGATATGAATGGGCTTATCTTTAACTGATATATGGTATGTGCTTACACATGTATCCCTTTCCTCCATAGCACTTTGTGTTTGGCGTGTGCCGACTGATCGACATACTTGTTCCTGATGTACCCGAGGCCCTGGAACTGAAAATCAAGAGGGAACGCTACCTTGCCAAACAGGCTCTAGCCGACACTGATGCCATCATGCAGGTGAGAAATACTTCACACATTGACTCAGAAAGTTTGGTTGGTGACTGGCTAATTTGTCGACACTAATACATGTTTTACCGATTGATTTTGACAATTATTTCTTGTATTGACACATGATTGTTTCGACAAAGACAAATCATTTCACCGAGCGACATTATCATGTTAGTTTTGTTACCTTGTGTAACGATGTATTTGTGCTCCAGACTGTGCCGGGGGATGATGATGAGGAAGAGGACGTAAGTTAACACTATAAAGAATTTCTGTAAACCCTAACCTCACCCAACATAACCCATTGTCCACAGAAGGTTCTGACCTTTTGCTTCACATCATGTCAAAAATATTTGGAAAAAAAATCAAAACAAAATGTACCAGATTGCCTTGAAAAGATGATAATCAAAGATATAACTTTTGTAAACAGACTTCATCCACGCTCCCATTTCACAATGCTTTCTAAGTAATGATTTCTGTTTAAAAAAACCCATACAAGTCCTTGTGTATTTGCATTTTTGAAAGTCAAGTAAAATTCTTGTCTTAGAAAGCTTTGTAAAATAAAGGCCAGGACAGGCAATCAAAAAACAAACATCTCTGATGAAAATCTGTGGCTGGTCAGATGGGGCCATTGTTGGGTGTGGACACATGTTGTATAATAGTGCATGCTTGCTTATATTGTCATATCTGTAGGTACCTGTGTGGAAATTACCTCCTCAGCAATATTGTCATCCCTGTAGGTACCTGTGTGGAAATTGCCTCCTCAGCAATATTGTCATACCTGTAGGTACCTGTGTGGAAATTACCTCCTCAGCAAACATGGAGTCCTGATGACAAGTGGAAAAATAAATTTGTCAATACATGTAACTTAAAGATTGTAACTTAAAGAAAGGGCACATACAATCTAACCGAGAGCAGATATTTACACAGAAGCCATCTTATTTACCAAGGGAGCTCTAACCTGTAAGTGTCAACATGGGAGCTCAAACCTATTAAGTTTGACATAAGGGGCTTAAACCTGATTAGTGTGAATATGGGAGCTCGAAACAAGTTAGTGTCAACATGGGAGCTCAAACCTATTAAGTTTGACATAAGGGGCTTAAACCTAGTTAGTGTGTACATGGGAGCTCATGTCTATTAGGTAAGACAAAGGGGCTTAAATCCAGTTAGTGTGTATTTGGGAGCTCATGTCTATTAGGTAAGACATAGGGGCTTAAACCTGATTAGTGTGAATATGGGAGCTCAAACCTATTAAGTTTGACATAAGGGGCTTAAGACCTATTAAGTTTGACATAAGGGGCTTAAGACCTATTAAGTGTCAACATGGAAGCTCAAACCTATTAAGTTTGACATAAGGGGCTTAAACCTAGTTAGTGTGAATATGGGAGCTCAAACCCAGTTAGTGTGTATTTGGGAGCTCATGTCTATTAGGTAAGACATAGGGGCTTAAACCTAATTAGTGTGAATATGGGAGCTCGAAACAAGTTAGTGTCAACATGGGATGACCAAACCTAGTAAGTGTCAACATGGGGAGCTCAAACCTAGTTAGTGTCGACACGAGGTGCTCAATCCTTGTTAGTGTCAACATGAGGTGCTCAAACCTAGTTAGTGTCAACATTGGGTGCTCAAACCTAGTGTCAACATTGTGTGCTCAAACCTAGTTAGTGTCAACATTGGGAGCTCAAACCTAGTTAGTGTCAACATGGTGAGCTCAAACCTATTTGGTGTCAACATGGGGAGCTCAAACCTAGTTAGTGTCAACATGAGGTGCTCAAACCTAGTTAGTGTCAGCATTGGTCGCCCAAACCTAGTTAGTGTCAACATGAGGTGCTCAAACCTAGTTAGTGTCAATATTGGGTGCTAAAACCTTGTGTCAACATGGGGTGCTCCAACCTTGTGTCAACATGGGGAGCTCAAACCTAGTGTCAACATTGGGTTCTCAAACCTAGTAAGTGTCAATATTGGGTGCTCAAACCTTGTGTCAACATGGGGAGCTTAAACCTAGTTAGTGTCAATATGAGGTGATCAAACTTAGTTAGTGTCAACATTGGGTTCTCAAACCTAGTTATTGTCAATATTGGGTGCTCAAACCTAGTTAGTTTCAACATGAGGTACTCAAACCTAGTAAAGTGTTAACATGGGGTGATCAAACTTAGTTAGTGTCAACATTAGGTGCTCAAACCTAGTTAGTGTCAACATGGGGTACTCAAACCTAGTTAGTGTCAATATTGGGTGCTAAAACCTTGTGTCAACATGGGGTGCTCCAACCTTGTGTCAACATGGGGAGCTCAAACCTAGTGTCAACATTGGGTTCTCAAACCTAGTAAGTGTCAATATTGGGTGCTCAAACCTTGTGTCAACATGGGGAGCTTAAACCTAGTTAGTGTCAATATGAGGTGATCAAACTTAGTTAGTGTCAACATTGGGTTCTCAAACCTAGTTATTGTCAATATTAGGTGCTCAAACCTAGTAAGTGTCAACATTGGGTTCTCAAACCTAGTTAGTGTCAATATTGGGTGCTCAAACCTAGTAAGTGTCAACATTGGGTGCTGAAACCTAGTTAGTGTCAACATTGGGTACTCCAACATAGTTAGTATCAACATGAGGTGCTGAAACCTAGTTAGTATCAACATTGGGTGCTCAAACCTAGTTAGTGTCAACATTGGGTTCTCAAACCTAGTAAAGTGTTAACATGGGGTTTTCAAACCTAGTTTGTGTCAACATTGGATGCTCAAACCTAGATAGTGTAAACATTGGGTACTCAAACCTAGTTAGTGTCAACATTGGGTGTTCATACCTAGTTAGTGTCAACATGGGGTGTTCATACCTACTTAGTGTCAACATTGGGTACTCAAACCTGGTAAGTGTCAACATTAGAGTGAAGTTAGGCTTGCTTGTTGCTACTTAGTTTTACACAAAATGTACAAGATGCTTATTATATGAAAGTTATCCAGCTTGTAGCAATAATTTAAACAGAATAGGCTTCAGTACTAACAATATATGTAATAAGCTGATCATATCCAATATATGCAAAATGCAGGCTTTAAAATAACCTGCTTGTAATATTTTGGTCAGAAATATTGCTTTTGTGACCAATTATTTAATCTTGAGTAATAATTAGTTACTGGACGCAATTGAAACAAAAAGCACATCTTAACCTTTAACCTCGCTGAATTTTCTTTAGTTTCTTAAAAGATCATTAAAATTCTTACAAATATTGATTCAAATACAGTGTTAAATCATATAGGTTGGATCTGGAATTCTGCAGTTATTTTGTCCCAATATATTTTGGTCAGATGCAATGGCTCAAAATTCTGAAACATGTTCAGTGTGGAGTCATAATGATTTCATTCGTTCAGAGACAGGTTTAGAGAAAACAGCTTTGAACAGTTATGTAACTTGTGTATGTATAGAGGGATCATCTAGCAAACAGCAAGTTTAATCTGACTGAAATATTGATATTAGATTTGGTTCAAAATATTACAGGAAAGAATATGAAAAGTGAAAGTTGGAATGAGGAAATAAAAACAAAAGAATCATTTCCAAAGATGAGTATAGCATACCGTATATATATGATCTCATTATTGATCTATTTCTAAGTTGTCCGTAGGGGGATGTATATTATCATAGAGATTTAATGGGAAATATAGAGAATTATATTTACTATTGGTTAGACTGCTGCTTCTGACCCTAAAAAATACCTCAACCACCACCCACCCACTTCCAATAATGTTATTTTCCAAATTTTATATTTTTCAAATGTTACTTTATTTTCCCAACTCATGCTGGCACAGACTGCCCTTCACGTGTAAACTCTGACAAGACAACTGTAGCATTGTAAAATTATATCAATTGTATACAGTTGATTGCTTTGTTGTATAAATTATAACTGTTGTTCTATGTAACCTGTTGTGTAATAGCAAGCTTTGTTAAATAAAAATGTCGTTTAGTGAGTTTAATATGTTGCTATAAGTATTCTGTATATTGATATATATGTTGTCCGATAGAAGATGTTGTTTTAAGTATCTGTTGTTTGATGTTCATGATGTTGTGAGAATATCGTTGTTTGATATCCGGGACTTTCTTGTCTCCTCTTGCTGTTTGTTCCTAGCTGTAAATGTTGTATTGATACCATGTAATCCTTTGATGTTCTTAAACTATGTGTACAGCGACTCGTAGCCTTTGGGCTGTTAGTAGTCCTTGTTAAACAAATAAAGAATTAAGTTATATCAGAAATTGTGTGGAACAACAAGTGACCAGCATTATCCAAATAATGAAAATGCTTCACTGTCATTTCATGAGCATTAGACTTGTTTGTTTTTATCAAAAACGTGTTGTTATATTGAAAATCCAATTCAGCTCTCCACTTTTGATAAATGACCGTTGGTCAAGATGAAGGGCTATATTGAGCGTGAAAGCTTGGACATAGAGTGACTGTCGCTACTTATAACTGTTGGCCTGTCGGACATCTTGGTTGATTTTAACGATAATATGAATGAACTGGAAGTGTTACAGTCGTCAACTTAACCCTTTCACCCCTATGTTACTTTAATCAACTCTACTATGCATTGATCTGGATAAGTCCATTATGGTCTATAGTGGTGAAAGGGTTAATTCATATGTAGACACATCTTGAGAAGTACCACACCTTTACAGATCATATCAAATATAGGTCATTGTGACCTACATTTTACACCTCTCTGACCTTGAATCCACCAAAACAGGACAAGAGGTGTATGCTAAAATTTTATGACCTAGGCTTTGACTTGTTAGCTCACCTGGTCCGAAGGACCAAGGTGAGCTTATGCCATACCGTGTCGTCCGTCGTCCGTCTGTCAACAATTTCTTTAAATTACTTCTTCTTCAGTTCCTAACCACTGATTGGAATTTAACTAAATTTGACTAGATGCATCCCTAGGTGGTGGGGATTCAAAATTGTACAAATGGTGGGGCTGGGCAAAAAGGGGGCAATTTGGCTATATTGCTTTAAACGACTTTATCTCTGGAACTAAGAGTTGGATATCAACCATATTTGACTGGAAGCATCCCTAGGTGGTGGAGATTCAAATTGAACAAATGGTTGGGCTGACCCCACAGGGGGCTGAGGGGCGGGGCCAAAAGGGGTCAATTTGGCTACATTGCTATAAAGTTATAAACGACTTCTTCTGTGGAACTATGCCATGTATATCGATCGTATTTGGTCGGAAGCATTCATGGGAGGCAGGGATCCTTGGAGACATAGTCCCTGGGCCATAACTTTAAAATGGTTGAGATCCCCACCCAAAAACTATACATACAAATGCTGGGCATAAAGAGATGAATGCAGTCATGATATTAGAATAGACCCTTGGGTCTGACCGAACCCCTATAGGGACCTAGTTTGTTAGTCACAGCTTGGAAACAGTTGAGATCCCCACCCTATAACCATATATACAATTGCAGCGTATAAAGAGATGAATGCACATATGCTTCCATGATGGCCTTGGGGACTGCCCCACCGTTGGAGACTTAACCCCTGGGTCATAACTTTGAAATGGTTAAGATCCCCACCCCAAAACTATATATACAATTGTTGGGCATAAAGAGACGAATGCAGTCATGATATTAGAATTGACCCCAGGGTCTGTCCCACCCTTGCAGACTTAACCTCTGGGTCATAACTTCGAAACGATTGAGATCCCCACCCCAAAACTATATATACAAAATGCTGGGCAAAAAGAGACAAATGCAGTCATGATATTATAATTGATTCTGGGGTCTGGCCACAACCCTAGGGACCTAGTTTCTGAGTCACAGCTTGGAAACAGTTGAGATCCCCACCCCATAACCATACATAAAATTGCTTGACATGAACAATCTAATACAGATATGCCACAAGGGTTGGCCTTGGGGTCTGGCATATTCTCTTGGATCTCATTTGGAGAATATTTTGCCATGATTGCTTAGATATCCAGGTGAGCGATACAGGCCCTATGGGCCTCTTGTTGGATTTGGTACTATATCTGGTTAATTAACAGTGTCATGTTGCGATGACTTCTTTAGATTGATCATGACAAACATTTAATGAAGTAAATGAGATTTTTTTTACTTTTTCTAATTGGCTGTTGATTTCAGGACAGGGTGATACCCTCTTGGGTTGGCAGAGTTTCGTGTATCGAAATCATATCTAATGTCCCACCGCTGTGATATACAGACTTGTGCCACTATGGTCACTATATGTGTTCCTTTGTCCCAAACATATCTCATATACTTTCATCGTCTACAATTGCTTAATTCTGTACAGGAGAGTACCTCTTAGAATGGTGGAGTGTTCTCCCGCTGAAATCGAGTCTCTTGCTCCACTTTATACAGAGTTATGGCCCTTGTTCATTTTTCGATTCTGTCGGTTGGAACTGTAGATTGTTCACAATACTTTACCTTGTTTTAATATGTTTGTTGTGTATGTTGCAGATTGCCAGAGGGGACGGCGAAGAGGACTTTGGGAATGACGAAGTGATAGTAAAAATAGACAAAGGAGAGGATTCCTAGCTCTGGATTTATATAAATATACGATCAATGAACAGATTTTTTCTTACACATGTGCGCCACTGATGGTTCCAAGGGGTTTCTGCACTCAGCTCAAGCCGTATAGCCAAGACTGACAGGATACTACACATCATTTACATAAATTTCTCAAGTGGGTCCTCGTTAATGACTTTTCTCTGCCTTTCCCTCACAGTTCCTACTTCTTTAAGTAACCCCTTGGAATCCACCATGCCGTCTATGTCATCATGAATACCTAGTTTGAATTGTATTTTTCATGTTTTTTCCCTTTCACTACGATAATTTATCTGAATGTTATTGAGTACTGTTTGTGTCGATTCAAATGAGTAAGGCATTCAGACAGTCGTTACCTTCATTCTCTATCTGTGATCCTTGTAAATATCTTAAAGGTTGTGAAATTTGTGGCTACTAACTGTTGTATTCACTAAGTAGTTTGGGACTTTCTTCTCAATTAGTGGCCTCGGATTGGACAAATCGTTTCCCGCTTCCTCTGCCTTGCCTTTTGATTGGCCAGTTCATTATATCCATATCTCACAACGACCCAGGCATTTGATTGGTCTAGCATTTCTATAAAAAAAAAACGAAATATTTTTTCATGTACAGTGAAAAGATCACAACTACAGTTATAGCATAATTATTTTTGAAGGTTTTGAAAAAAAAAATCCTTTCTAATACCGTTCATTTTAGGAGAAAATACGCTCATTCATATTTCTATGTGATAGAAATTGTTTGTCATTCTCTTGCTCATAAAATATAAGCTAAAAATTAATAGGCTTACCACATTATTTCGATTTATTAAATGATGTTATTTTAGTTAATTATTAACCATATAGTTAAGTATAACTTTGTTATGCCTCTTCCCTGTGGCAAACTTATTTGAATGAATATGATAAGTGCAATGTTTATTTATGGTTATATCTGTAGGTTTCCTGATATAGAAATTTTAAGTCTTTGCTGACAGCTAAAACTCCTAGATGCTAGTAGTACATGTAGCTATTTCTGTCACACCTGAAATGTGAATCATACAGCTGCAATGTGAATCATAATACGAACAATGTGAATTGTATACCTGCAATGTGAATCATGAATACCGAAATTGGGAATTGTACAACTGCAATGTGATTCACAAAAACCGACATTGGGAATTGCACACCTGCAATGTGAATCATAAATACCAACATTGGGAATTGTACACCTACAATGTGAATCATATACCTGCAATGTGAGTCCTGAACTTTTGCAATGTGAATCATATACCTGAACGTGTATTGAGAATCATGCACTAGTAATTTGAATATTGTACACCTGCAATGTGATTCATTATAAATACATGCAATATGAATATGTACACTGTGTATTGAGATCATTTAGTATCCCTACGATTGCTTCACAGTGTAACCTCATTCTTCAAGAATTGATAAGGACTATTTCGTTCATCTGGAAACATATGATAATCCAGAATCTTGTTTTATTGACTCGTGAAGTTTCACTGTATAAGCAGAAATTAATGCATTACTATAAAACATGATTTTAGAATTGACATTACAATTACTGTTAAAATAGCTTGACTGTATCTTAGTAAGATATGATAGAAAATCTCAATATGTAGCATAATAGTGTAAATATATTATATGGGAAAACGGGGATTGAATCTTCAGCTTTACTTTTGCTATTTTTACACTCAAATGTATCTATGTTATAACACATTACTATTCTTTGTTGAAAGTTGTGCCACCAAGTGGCAATGATCATGATATAAATTGGCATAATTGTTCTGTGTATAAATTAATAGATTTCGAGTTTTCATCTATTTTTTACATTCCATCTTTCTTGTTATTTATGAAGGAAGAGTGTAGTTGCCCGTGTAGACGTTGAAGCCAGTACCACACGGCTTGTATCTGTAACTTGTGTTCAGTAAAAGTGTAGTATACGGTCACCTCTTTGTCTAGTGAATAGTTAATGCTGAAAGGGGGCTTGACAGTCCATGCATATCGAGCAAGATATATTACAGAATTGTTAAGATAGACTGTATTGTTACCTTGAGGTAAGTTGTAGTGACAAATGAAACGAGCATTAAATTCAGAGTTTACCCACAGGTACTTGAGTTCAGTCATTAGCAAAAAAAAAGTTTAAAAAAAATAAAAATAAGAAAGAATTAAAATACAGGGACTGGTCAAGAACCTGATAGGCTGCTATGCAATATATCAACAGAGGAAGATCAGGTTCCGGACAGGTCTAAATAAATTCAATTTGTGTCTTTTATTCAATTTTTGTCACGCCACAAAGAGGTAGCGTAGCGGAATCGAGACTAAGGTGTTGGCATCAACATTAAGTTTTTGCGTTTAACTTAGTTTCACTGAAAGTATAAGTGCTAGAACAACCAAACTTGGGTCATAGATGTATCTTGGGTAGTACATCTCAACCCATGCATCAAATATATTAATGCTGGATGCGGCCTACCTTTCATGGTCCATTGACTTTGTCAGCATCTCCATCATTATTAACTTTTTGCGTTTAAGTTAGTTTCTCTGAAACTATATTAGTGCTAGACCAACCAAAGTTGGGCCATAGATTGCATTGATGGTCAAAGCAGGGCACAGGCGAGACATATCAATCCATATGGCTTGTTTTTTAAATGGCTAAACTCAAGTGCCTGTGGTTTACTGTACAGAGAAACCTGAGTGACACCATCCTCAATATTTACACAAAGTGATACAAGGGATATAAGCATATGGAGTTTAAATTTATGGACAGCACAGGAAGTTCCTGAAGTTTACTCTTGTTTGAATTGAAGTACAGCCTACAGGCTGTGTGGTACAGACGATAAAGTAGGTAGCGCTGTGATAGTGTTTGAAGTACAGGCTGTGTGGTACAGACGATGGAGAGGGTAGCGCTGTGATAGTGTTTGAAGTACAGGCTGTGCGGTACAGGCGATGGAGAGGGTAGCGCTGTGATAGTGTTTGAAGTACAGACTGTGCTGTCCCTATGACGAAGTGGGTGGCGCTGTGATTATGTTTGACGTACAGGCTGTGTGGTACAGACGATGGAGAGGGTAGCGCTGTGATAGTGTTTGAAGTACAGACTGTGCTGTCCCAATGACGAAGTGGGTGGCGCTGTGATTGTGTTATAAGTAAATGTTGTTTCAAGGATGAAATGAGTAGTACTGTGGTGCGTTTTTATTACATTTTTACTAATTAATACTCTATGTTTTGATGCATGTTGTTGTTGACTTGTTTAGTATTTTATTACATTTTCTACTGGTGAATTGTTTCTCCTAAGGTGACCAACCACATCACAGCTATCTGGCAGTATGTGACCAATCACATCACAGCTGTCAGATACTGCAAGACTGATATGACATGAAATTTTAAACTGTGTGAAGGAAAGACAACCAATCAAATAACAGTTAACAGATTGTGTGACCAATCAATTAGCACAGTTGTCAGATTGTGTGCACAACCAAGTAAAGCATGATAGCTTTCTGGGTTGAGAGAAGGATTTTTTTTTATATTTCCTATATGCCTACACTACTGGCACATGTACAATCTTTACCAGATTAAGATATATGCTGTTCTTTCTATGACAAACAAAAGACTTTTCAACCCTAAGAAACCCTTGAAGAATATTTTGTGTAAATGGATAATTTGGAGTTTGTTATAAGGATCCCTGTGCCATTACAGGCGAAATTTTGAGAATTCCACTGAAACGTGTGTTTTTACATACAGTAAACTCTCCTTAAATTTGCTTTTTGTTACAACTGTAGCGCAACTTGGCCAGGGTACTGCCATTGACAAGGACGCTCAGTTGGTTAGAGCTACAGTATAATGGTCGTCGGGGGTCCAGTGATTAAATCATGGTGTTGCACATAACTTTTTAGAATTGATACTGTTGTTGCTCCTTTGTTTGTTTATTTCCTCTTTATATTTTTATTTAAGTTTTGTAAGGTACTAGATTTGATTTTCTTTTTGGAAATGATAATTTTATTACACTGTAACAATGTTCTAGACATGTCGGAAAAATAGATTTCAATGCATATTTAACTTTTTTGTTTGCTATGGTACAGGAATCCTTATTAAATGACAAATTAGAAAATCACAGGACATTGTATAATGTGTAAGGCCAAGTGAAAATCACAGGACATTGTGTAAGGGCAAGTGAAAATCACAGGACATTGTATAATGTGTAAGGGCAAGTGAAAATCACAGGACATTGTATAATGTGTAAGGGCAGGTGTCATGGGTACAATAATATTGAAGCAATAAACAAAATGTATAAAAAACACATCATTTCTCTGACCAAGTGTATACATGTACCAGATGTGATCGGTTCCAGTTAATTAATATATGGAGCCATTTTCCAATGGATGCATTGGATGGTTGCAAATGATTTGTTTCTTTTAAATCTCGTCTTTGTTTGTAGTGCATCGAAGAAAAGATCTATAGAAATCTGACCATGTGGTTCAGTTTGTCCAGTGAAAAGCACATTTTATGCATAGTTACTTCAAAAATATACGTAAAAGTAGCAAAAAATCAGTTTGTCATTTATGTTTTTTGTTTTATGCATTTAATTACCTCCATTGTATAATTATAAATTATAAATATCTAGTATTATATTTTTAACAGTTCAGGGATGGTTTCATTTTGGAAAAAAATATATTGTCAAAATCTTGGATTACTGCTGCTCCTTTTCCAGGACAATTAAGACGAGTGAAAATGTAGACAACAACAGTCGTGACAACATAGAAAACCTCAGATACAAACGGGCACAAGTCTTCTATGACCTCTGTTGGAATGACGTAACAAATTTAAAAAAAGTCGTATCATCACTTTTGAGACGACTAATAGGCTAATTAGTGATGAGGAGTCTGCAAATTAGATAGAATTGGCAGAAGCAATGACATTTAAATAATTCAGAGTAAACATTTATCTCTGCAAGATTTGATATCAAGGTGTATTCTTTTTATCCCCCAACATAAAAAGGTCAATTTGGGAAAGGAAAAAAATTGATGACATTATATATGTGTGGAGCAAACCTGTTACAGACAAAAATTACTAGCTGCATAATTATATACTATAAAAATATCAGAAAAGCACAATGTTTATCAGTTTGTACAAACAATATCTTGCAAGTTCAGCACATACCACATTATAGTAAATAGTTATGGTGAAGTAGTTCAAATATCTCTGACCCTGTTTCCTTCTGGCATACATAATGCAGTAGGTTGGTGGTAAGGTTTTTTTTCTGTGCGATAATATTCAAAAGTGAAACAGTGACAAACGAATGACAGCAGTGAAGGATGTTATTTTATGATAATCAAATTTTATTTCATTGCCAATAATAAATTCACGGTTATCCTTCAGTCCAAAAGGTTTTGTTATTTTTTTACGACATTATTGTTCCAAATGTTTATTGTGTAGCATGAAAATGTTTGCCGCAGTTAAACCAACGCCCTTTTCATCTGCCCCAATGAGAGCGAATTTATCATTACAGCGAATATTAGCACACAACATACAGTAAATAGTAGTTACGTGTCGGTGGCGAACATGGATTTTATCGGCAGAGCCAGGGCGAATAATTGACTGGGTGAAAGATTCCTGGTTTACCGTATTCTTTATTAGCACCAGTAATTTCTGAATTCTGTGCCATTAACCTAAGTTTTGATTTTCATTACAATGTTACATTTACAACCCATTCAGGTGAGGTCAGAAAAAAATCAGTACATGTCAGTAAATTTAGTACAATAACTTTCCAAACATGGGAAAACTGCAACAGAATTTATTGTTTTTTGCATTGATGGACACAACAAAAGACCTAATAGGCCTGTATCGCTCATCTGTTATTCAATGCTGTTCACCTACAGATTTAACTTCTGTGACCTTCAAAGAGGATAAAGGTCATATGTATTCCAAAAAATATTCGAAGCAAGCAAGATTAAACCAATTTAAACTTTATTCACTTATGTGACGTTCAAAGTTCATCAGAGTCGCTTCTTTGGGTAACAAATAATGTTATTATCCAAAGAATCTGTAGACCTGATATTACTACTCTTAAATGTATAAAAAGCAGTTAAAAATGTACACAACTTTGAACCCTGTAATCAAGGAGAGAGGTCAAGGTTATTTGGAGGGAAAAGCTTGATGGTTATTCACATCAAAAAGTTTACAGGCCAAATATGCGATTTACCCTAGACCTCAAGAATATTTGTAGGCTGTTCAGAGAGTTGAATAAATTTGACCATTTATGTGACCTTGAAAATGGGCCAAAGTCACTTAAGCACACATAAATTGCCCTTTATTGCAACAATTTGTTTGAAAATGTTTATCTAGAAACTTGATCTTTAGAAAAACTCATATGAAGATTTAACACATTTGATCCATAAATAAAAAGTTGCATATGCATTTACACAAATTTGATAGCTTTCATCCCAGCATGCTATCATTTCAATAATACAGATCCCATACCTCTAAGTTTCTCAGAACACACATTTGACCCTTGTGATTCAAAGTGTGATTCATTTGCCATTCTTATCTGCATGCTACAGTTGAAATAAGACCACCTATATTTTAACACATTTGACCCTTGTGACCTTGAAAGTGTCATTCTTTTGAAATAGATGACCAGTCATTCAAGCATGCTACTGGCCAAATACAAAACAACACCTAAAGTCTCTTGCTTATTAATACTTTTAAGACATTGTTGAACCGTTTATCATGATTTGACCCCGTTACCTTAAAAGTGTGTTGAGATCATTCATTTAAAGGAACACAGCACCTCATCCAATGACACTGATGATCAAATGTCTTGTTACTAGACCTTTTGGTTATTCAGAAGAAGTCATTGAATGGTGACCTTGAAAATTGGCCAATGTCATTATTTTGAACAAAATTAGCCCTTCATCCCAGCATGTTACATGCATCTAAATAACATAACTGTTGACTGTTTAGATTAATTTGACTCATGTGAGCTCATATCCTCGAAATTCCAAGAGTTGCTCTCCCTTATGATATCTGTACAGAACGTGATGCGAGCTTGAATATCCTTCTCGGCATTTTACAATCAAAGCATGGCCCTAGGTATCCTGGTAATTAATAAAACTCCTGTGACCTTGAATGTGAATAAAGGAGGTAAAAACTATTCTATCATCCCCGACATATGCTGCAGGCCTAATATCGTACAACACATTTTATCATAATCTGACTAGTTTCTGGGTAGTTAACCCATACTTCGAGGAGGTTTCATTTTGTATATTTGTTCGCAATCTGAACATGAAGCCAAAATATACAAGAAGTACAAACCCTGCGAGATCTGCGGCTGCCTCAAGACTGAATGTTTGTCTTAGACTTCAGGTTAAACGGCATTATTTCTTTTGTTTATGTAAAGCTACGATATTTGAGCTTTCTTTGAACTGTCCACGGGATTTAATGATACAAGAACTTGTGACGTGTATACACAGGAAAATGTCAATATCTCTCTAAGACAGAGGAGGGTTCAACCATTTGTCAGCGGTATGCAGGCTTTTTTCATGTTAAATTGATTGAATTCTGCATTTTATTCATAAAAAAAGACAGTTACATGTTAGAACATTTTGAAATTGTTCCTTAAGGTATGTTGTACAAAAGGATTATCATAACAAATAGCATGACAGGTAGTGGCGGCACAGAGTGATAAAACTCAATCATTTATAATTAAGAGGTCTGGTCGTGAAAGGAAATTATTATAAATTTCTTTCTTTTTTTAAAAGTCAATGGGCAAGCAAATCAAAATCAGAACAAAATTGTTTACAAAATTGGAACTCTTCTTCGTTGACGATTTACACAAAGCTTTGGGTCAGACTCTCTTCCTTGATTTTTTTTTTTCAAGTGTAGAATCTGATGTATGCTGGCACAAAAACAGTTTTATAATGAATTTTGTTATTGTGTACACAATTTTTTTTTCTTGTTTCAAGCAATATTAATTAATATCCTCCAGTAATTATCTCAAACTTAAGCTATCTTGACCATGGCATGTAAATGTGACTTTGCAAAAAGCTTTGAATCATTAGAACAAATTTGTATCTGTGAATGATTCAGTTGTCTCAATGATCTAATTCCCGCTTGATATATACATGTCAAGTTCATTGCCCGGGGCAAGTTTGAATCGTTTTTCATTTTTTTTGTAAAATTGTGAGTAAGCTATAGGGGACAGCGTTTAAGGAGGGTCCATACTTTTGGAAAAACCCATGTCATTTTTTTCTAATTAGGTTTATTTTCTTGCATTTGTTACGTAGATTCCATATATGAAAAGAATAAAGGGGGTTATCGACTTACTGTTTGAGATATTTAAGCTGAGAGGTAGCCACTTTGTCTGAAATTTTCCCCCAAATTATGAAAATTAAGTAAAAATATGTTTTCTACAATATTTATAAAACTCAAGTTACCACCAAGTTGAATATTTTTAAAACATAATGTTATATACTATCAAAAGCAAAAATAAAACAAAAACAATTATATATGCTAAATTTATGCATTTTTAGTGGCCATCCATTCTCTTCAAATGTAATTTTTAACAAATTTACATGGAACAAATGCATTAAAAACAAGCAAGTTAATATAATATCACTTAAAGTCACTTTAAAAAGTAATAATCCATGACAAGCACATATGTATAGCGATATTTTAACGAACAAAAAAAAAGAAACTATGAACATTCCGGATATTTTTACCGGTCTGTCTATTATTTACTTATGACTTTCTTAAGCGTCGAAGAGACCACGATTTGTGTTTAATGGCCATGTATCAACGATGATTGAAGGCTGAAGACGGGTTTCTCCTTTCTAAAGACTATGCCGCTGCACTGCATCGGCGAGAGGAGGTAAGTTTGTGAGCAAAAACATCATGTTATTGAAACATGGAATCAGAATGAAGTTAGATAAACTGATTTTTAAAGTCGACTACGGGAAATTACTTTCGCCACTAGATTTTATCGACTGGCAAAATATGTTAAAAAAATCTCGGGAGTTCTATTGAATATTTTTCATAATTGGGGTTATATTGTGAGGTTGGTCGTTGGGAAGTGAGTAAAATAAACTTGATATCAAAATATAAAGGTCTTGTTTTGATGTAACACATCTGAAAACAATCCTAAGAATGTTCAACAGGTCGAACACCATCGCTATTTTACCTGTCAACGTTAGATTATAATTTACCTACTGATGGCTACTGTAGGCAATATTATAGCCTAGGTCTACTTTCACTATTCAACTTTTCATGTTATTATTTTTACGTTAATAAAAGTATTATTTGATGAATAACTATCCCACTTTTTGATGGGGCGGGGATATTACAGGGCTTTATCCAGATCCTTTGAAGTATCGGTATTGGGTAAATTCTCCTCAGAAATCTTGCTTTTATTTCCCAGCCTTTTCAATCACAATTTTCACTTTTTTCTTTTCTTAATTTCCCCTTTAAAAGAAATATTCCATCTTTAGTCTAGAATTAAAAAATCGATTTTGTTTGATGATTGATTTTATTTGTCTTCATTCACACATTTTACAAGGAGCTTCATGATATTAATATTAAGTTGAGAACTTGTGTTGATTTATTATTAAAAAGTGCTGAAATGCCATCTCAGTTCATCTATTTTCAAAAAGATTTAGAGGGAAACCCTCCGTACCCCCTTAAGACAGGGGCTCCCGCTCCCCTCTGGTACTTTCCCCCTGGGTTTGGGCCTTCTGCCCTCACCAAGGTGGCTTGTAGCTTTAAATGGGAAAAGGGCAGTAGAAATGTTTTTCTGGAGTTGTTTCGCCCTGATATTTTATATATTTTAAAGTTGTGAATATCAGTTGAAATGTTTTTAATTATTCATAAAGCTTAATATTTTCATGTTTAGTCACAGAATAAGTCCATGGTTTTCATGAGCAAATGTCTTGTTAAATGAATTCCATGCTACATTGTATGTGCAAACCGGTCGACCACCTAAACAAGTTTTGTTTATATACAGGAGTCCCTCTGAGATAGATAATGAAGAGGAGACATGCCCCAGTATCTGGCAGAAGTCCCCAGACTCCATCCTGCTGGACATTTTCTATTCCCTCAAAGCTTGTGACCTTGTCCGGGCCGCACAGACCTGCAAGGTAAGCAAACTAGCAAAGTAGGTTGTTTGGAGTACATTTTAATCATCAGATGTTTTCATTTTGTTAGGTAGTCTGTGGCCTACAGTCTTGGTAATAGTTACCCACAGGGTAGAGTAGTTAACTCATTCACCCCTGGAGACACATTTGAACTCTTCCGATTCAAATGTTGGAATAGTTAATTTTGACCTAACAATAAGTCATTTAATGCAATGAATCAAATTCAACATTAAAAGTTCAAGTAACAATAATTTATGATTGAATTATCATTTAAAGAAACTGATTTTGTCAAAGCATCTTTATGATTACACTGTAGTTATGCTTAAACAGGACTGGCATCGCGTGTGTCAGGACGAGAGTTTATGGAAGGGCCTGATGAAAAGTCAATGGGGTGTGAAGACCGTTTGTCTCCCACCAGGAAAGGAGAGCTGGCAAGCTGAATACCGACGCCTCCATTATCTAGCTCCGGTGCAGCTCAGCGAGACGCTCACAGATCACAACGATGAGGTGCTACATGTCAGCTTCTCCCATAGTGGCGATATGTTCTCTACAACCTCCAAAGACGCCACTATCAAGGTTGGTCAGCTGCCAGTTACGGTTTTTCATGTGAATCTGAATTTGTTAAAAATTTGCTTTGTTAAAAATTTGCTTCAGTCAATTGAATCCAGATATTGAGAAGGTGGTCTAAAACTGTGGTTTGTTTACACCAAAAAATCTGTCCAAGTTAACTGTAGATATCTTTCAGTAACTGTTTCATATCCATTCAAACTAATTTCGTTCCTTTTGGACTAAAATCTAAAGTGTCTGATGTTTTCTTTCACATAAGCAGTTCACACTTTAGTCTTGCTATATATGAAAATTTGTTTCAGAATTCGTTTCTTTTACAAATATGTTTAACAGAGCCTTATTGAAAACTAGACCTCAGTGTTACACTGCCTAAACTCATTCACCCCTGAAATTTCATAATGAGCTATTCCAACCTTTGAATTGGAAGAGTCCGAATGTGTCTTCAGGGGTGAATGATTTAATAAAAAAAAGAAATGTGTCTTTCATTTTATTTTACAGGTGTGGAGTGTTGGGTACCCAACAACAATAAAATACTCAAAAGATTTTCGTAAATTACTTTCCTGGGACTTCACCCAGTTCTCCTGCTTCAACCAGAGTGATAGCATGCTGCTGGTGTCCAGTGTCAAGACGAGGGACTTCATGGACAGGCGCGGATTTGTTGCCATCCTCTCTATTCTTCATGGTAAATTGAAATTACCGTATTTATCCCGTAATAAGCCCAGGGGCCCACAAAACGTTTCCGCCTTAAAGTAAGAGGATGCGCTAATAACAGGACAGTGTAATAGATTTTGTTGAAATTTATACTGAACTGAAATAGATATGGGTGGGCTTATTGCCAGATAAATAGGGTAAATATGCTAATTGTTACCAAATGCAGGTACATGTATAAGCTTTTTAACAATCCTAAGTTATTAGTTCCCCAGTGACACTACTGGAAGGGTGCTATAGGTTTTTCTCCCCTATTGGGATGGCAGGGTGTTAACCCATTCACCCCTAAAGTCACATTTGAACCTTACTGAATCAAAGACTGGGCAAGTCCAGTTTAAATAAGTAGTGGGTAAATGAGTTATCATACCAAGTTTACTAAACACAGAGTTATGGCCCTTTGTCTTCTTTACCAATTTTTCCCCAGAAGTGGATAAATATCAATTGCTTGCATAATTAAGTATGCTTCGTTAAAATGTTAAAACTAACTACAATTCCTTAATGTCTTCCAGATTTCCATATACTGCGTGTTGTGGCGATGGACCCGTCACAACTGTTTGGGGCATGGCTTGATGACAGCACATTCTTGGGTGGTTGTCTGGAGATTAGCCTTGACAGATTTGCGACTACAGTCCAGATAGAGTCGTTTGAGGTAAAGCAATGACAGTTTGTAAATGTTCATTTCAGGTAACCACGTCCATATAGTTATTTGAGGTAAACCACTGTTTGTTTGGTGATATGGAGCACAAGTCTATACATTGGGAGTTGGTAAAAGCCAAAATCATGAGGTAACAGTCAAGACTCTAGGTAAAACATTTGTTTTCTAGGTCAAAAGTCTGAATTTGGGGGTCAACTATTTGGAATTTGAGACGATTCTCTAAAATCTAGATGAGTCCGGAAAAACTGTCTGGAGTAAGTGACATTAGTTTGGAGCCAGGTCAGTAGTTCTGATAAGTAGGACAGTCTTGAGTCAGCCTGGAGTTGAGATAAATGGTCTGGACTTGAGGGCAGTACCCTGAAATCTGGTATTGTGGCTTTAAATTTGATTGTATGTTGTTTTAGGTACAGCCCTCCCATCTTGCCGAGTTGTTGTCGGAGGACTGTTCCGACATGTGTGTGGAAGAAGGGGGAGGTCAGAGCTTGTTTACGTTCTGTAGCGAGACTGCAAGCCTCATTAAATTCTTGACTGTGGCTAATGTTCCGGTGCAATCCAGTGACCCTGATGACCTCGGTGACCCCTACTCTGACTCTGACATGGAGGCTGATGGACCTGGTGAAAGATCTGTGGAAGAACATATGGAAGACAATTTTAGACTGGAAACTGAGGCTGGGTGTTCTTCCTCTTCAGGAAGGGGAGCAACTGGTGTCTCTGCTAATTTCTTTGTAGACTATAGTAAGTGTGGCTCCGCATGTGGTTCTGTAGCACCACACCAAACAGTAAGCACGCAGAACATGATATTTGTGACTGGTGAATTCGCTGTGGCATTGCATCAGGTCGGATTCAAAAACTTATCATCTCCCCCTGTCTCAGTTGACAATACAAAGTCAAGGTCGTACCGGGACAGTGACCTCAGTTCTAGCTCTGACCTTGAGGAACTAGGAACGGAACCAAACCAAGAGGAGAGCCACATGGTTGTCAGCTTCAGTAACAATGACATACAGTTACGGAGAATACGAAAGTCGGACAAGCCAGATCACCTGATTGACCTCTACGGTCATGTGACCGGATTGTGTTTGTCACACGATCACAGGTAATTTTGCATTTACTACTGACAGAGAGATACACTTATAATGACAATGCTTTTTGGTGGCTAATTTACCACCCTTGTCTTTTTCTCATCACAAATACAGTAAATGGTTCCACACTTTTTGTAGAATAGAAATCACTTTTAAAAGAGGCAGTTGTTTAAGCTGACGTTTCAATGCTCTGTGTTGTATTGCCAGTGAAAAAGACATCAATGGGAATCATTTCAAAACGTGTCAGCACCCTCAAAAAGTTCCCCATCAAATTGAAAGATTTCCCAGTGATGTTGCAGAAAAGTGTGAACACCTCAAATGACATGATTGGCTTGGCTGCAGATTAGCTTTCTTATTTAATTTTTAATCAAGATGTCGAGGATCAAGTCCTTGTGGTGGAGATTGGGAAAAGGAAATAAGAAAAAGAATATCTTTTACTCTTGTACATAACAATTTCTTTAGTAAATGGGCAAGACTAAAGTTAGAAAACTTCCAAATGAGAACTCTACTTCATTAGGGAGTGCTTGGACTCTACCGATTACCTAGGTACGTTAATACTATGGTTATAAGCTGCTGGACATGCATGTCTACAGATATGGTGGATGGAGGAAGATTTTAAGAAATCTAACCTCACATAGTGGTAAAGTCTATTTAATGGTAACAGGTTGCATGCATAATAGGCATGTATGGATTTTTTTTTATTTGGTTTGATATTATGTGTATGAATGTAACAAGACAAAACCTTTTTCGAAGATGAGGGCCTCTACAATGAGAGTGAGTTTATCATGACAGATAATATTATTACACATCATACCATATATATAGGATTTAACATGAGTTTCCATTTAATATGAGATTCATGAAACGAGTAAGAATTTTTCAATTAAGCGAGCCTCTGGCGATCCAAAATGAAAAATTCGGGACGAGTTTCGTAAATTTCATATGAAATGAGAACGAATGTAATATCCTTTTTATCACATACTCAAAATTTGTAGCATTTATTCGTGTAGAACGACAATTTTCATGTAACCTTGAAATGTAAAAAGCCGCCATTTTGACTCCAGTGCGTAAGTCTGTGATGTCATGTACTTGTCCTAGGCGTGACGTCACAATTGAAACAAATGAAACTTACAACCAATCACAGGGCTGATTGGTCATACTACTTGGGCTGATACGCAAAAAAATATATGACATGGGTATATTCACTGGATAACACAGTACAGTATGTGATCAATAGTAATTACATGTGAAGGGTGAAATGAATACCAAGTGAATGTTGATTTTACCAGTGAAGCACATTTATTGACTCGGTGAAGTCTTCCCTATACACAGTAATATAAAGCATACCAATCCCCATCATTGCATTGATGTCTGTCATGCAATTCAGGTATTACTTTAATATATTTATTTAATGATTACAAACGATATATTCTTATACAAGTAAAAAATCTTGTAGAGGATTGGCACAGTAAATTGCACAGACCAGGTGTTACTATATATATGTTACTAATATATGGGCGGATTGGTTGATCCCCGAAGCCGTCCTACGCATGGATATTCAGAGAAAGTGTTTTTCTCCTGCCCACACAACTCCCAGCAACCCAGGTGGAGTATAAAATGGTCTGGGGTGGCTGTTGCGGTATCTGTGCCGTAGCATTCAAGTGAGGTGGCACTATGAATGATGCTGTTGGAAGCACGATCCCACTACAAACAGAACACATCACATCTCCAGCAAAACACGCAGGCATACACACATAGGGAGATATTAGCCAGGTGGCGTACTATGCCTTATCAGGCGCTAACTACTAGTCCTATGATAGGACTAATAGTTAGCGCCTGATAAGGCAGCTCCTGCAAATTCCTCAAAATTGTATTGATTAATGTATATGCTAATTGTATTGACTGTATAAAATTGTATATCTATGTACTGTAAAGCGCTTTAGAGTGGCTTATGTTAGCTAGATAGGGCGCTATATCAAATGTTGTATATTATTATTATTATTATTATTATTATTAAATATTTATAAATGCTTACAAATGATATATTCTTATACAAGTACATTTTCTTCTGTAGATACTTGTTCCTCAATTGCCGACCATGGATTGGTACAGTAGATCGCACTGACCCCTGGGCAACTCCTGACCTTTCACCCTCCATAGAGGTCAGAGTTATTGACCTTTGCACTTTAAAAGACACGAAACTGAGATATACAGGCCACAAAGGTTTTTCTCCGTCGACAATGTGTTGTTTTGTGTTCCTTGATGTCAGTCAAGACTATGTGGGCAGGTAAGGATCTAAAACCTAATTTTCTGCGTCTAATTTGTGACTAATAAGAAAATAATGTTGCTCAATTGAGATAATTATATTACCTGGTAGTTATAGCAGAAGATGCCAAGTTGACAGCAAAACAAGTCAAAATACATAAGACTGATTTTGTGTGATAGGTAAACAAAATGTAAATCATATCTTCTCTATACATTTATGTTAATTCCTTAGTTAATGGAAATGTAGCCCGATCAGTCAGGATTTTCAGTTGTATCAACTTTGAATATGGATTTGTCTCCCTTTGACCATAACTAGCCTGTTTAATCACGAGAACCATGTGGCTGTCAATGCTATGCAGTATTTAATTTGTGACACAAAAGAAGAATGAAGAAATTTGAAATTATCACTTGACATTTAGAATTAAATGTAATTAGAACAAATAAGAATTTAAGATGCAGATAATTGGTGTTATATTACAAAAATGTGATGCATGTAAACTGTTTATCATAATTGTAAAACAAAATGTACTAGGAAAAACTCTATACTTTTTACCCTTCAATACTGCTGATAAATATCAATGTTTCTGTATTTAAATCATTCCAGGGGTTCTTTTTAAAATAGAATATCTGATATAGAAAGAGTTAAAGACGACTTTTTGAGTAATGCTCAAAGTTGAAGGATGTTTTCTGGATTGTGTAGGCTGCACTACATTATGGACATCATGTGGTATCATTGCTGTTTTGTAGTGGGAGTGAGGACGCTAAAGGCTATATTTGGGACCGGCACTACACAACACTACTGTCCACCTACCAACACGGGGAGGGCGTCGTCAACGCCATCGCCTTCTGTCCCAACAATCAGGAATACCTCGTAACCGTCAGCGACGATAACACAATCAAGATCTGGAGGTCTAAGCGCTTAATGAAGGGTTTGGATGTGACTGCAGACAATTGAAACATGAAACAGATGTACTATTAATCCTGTATTTAGAAGACTACCTTTGGGAAGTCCAAAAAATTGTTTCTTAATGCTGATTGCAGGTGGTCTCTTGATACAGGTGCATTTAACAATGAGATCACTACAATTGGGGTGAATGTGGCCTGTCAACACATGCATCCTCTTTACAGAGGTGGTCTCGTATGCAGGTTTGTCTGTATCTCTGAATAGGCATGAAGCTACAAATGCTAATTGACTATATATGGATTGTAAGCCAATATTTTCAGTAGGTAAAACGTGTTGGACTTAAAATTGTAAGTCATTTAAAGTGCTGAACATACAGACATACCAACAGAAAGAACGACTGCAGGAAATCAATGAAGCCTAGTGAGAACTGGAATAGGTGTTGCAGAAAATCACTGAGGCATGGAATGGATGCTGTATGTCACTTCAGTGAAGCTGGAGGTGTTTGTTTGTTGTTTGTTTGTGATGTATTCGGACTGAAAAAGTTGTAATTACAAATAAGCATATATGGTGTAATTACAAATTACAAATAAGCATATATGGTGTAATTACAAATTACAAATAAGCATATTTATTGTAATCACAAGTTAAAAATAAGCATATATGTTGTTATAACAAATTACAGAAAACCATATGTATCGTAATTACAAGTTAAAAATAAGCATGTATGTTGTTATTACAAATTACAGAAAAGCATATGTATTGTAATTACAAGTTAAAATTAGCATATATATATTGTAGTTACAAATTACAGAAAAGCATATGTATTGTAATTACAAGTTAAAAATAAGCATATATATATTGTAGTTACAAATAAGCATGCAATAATGTCTTTACAGCATTACTACCAAATCTTGGATGACATTTTGTTTTAAACTTGTCAGTAACCATTTTGTAGACATCACTCCATGTTTTGCAGACTGAAACTGGTGTGTATATCTAATATATGTATGTGATGTTTATAATCTGTTCAGGAAAGTGCTGATGTGCTAATTTATTTTGCTTGCGTTATTATTCATCAGCTGGATGGATGTTGTTCCATAGTATAAATATATTTAATATAAATGGATCTAATTTAATATTAATATATATTTCATTGAAGTCGTTCCATATTAAGACTTTTAAATATGTTGTGGAACTGGACTGGATCGATCGTCGGCGACCAGGGACTTCAATTGTTAGAGCGTTTTCTAGAGTTCGGAATGTCCCGGGTTCGAATCCAGGTCTAGCTGTTGCATTTCTCTTTCTCTCGTTACAAATAGATAATGAGTGGATGATGTTGCGTAGTAAAAATATGAATTGTATAAATTATGAGTGGGCATTGTTCGATAGTAAGAATTATATACGAAGTAACTTACAAACATCATTTAATTGTAAAAATAGTATATTATTTATCTTTTTCCGCCATAGCTTATTTTTTGGGCTCGTGGGTTATTTTTAAACGAATATCATGTATTAGATTCACAAAGGAAATATGAAGCTATGTTGATGAACTGAACCCATTTCTCCACACTGCCTTTTAGTGTTGATGTTTACATATTATCTTCCCATTTATGATTATACACGTTCTGAAATCTGAAAACTACACCCAGGGTAAATAAGTTTAAACTATATACCTGCGAGTGCAGAGTAACAAAAATTACTAAAATGTCTTGCTATTCCGTGAATTTTATCCAAACACTCACTTTCTACCTCTATTTCCTGGATTTTATTGCATTATTTCCTCATTTTTGGATCAGATGTTTTCTTCAACAGAGAGTTCAAACCATACCTTTGTGCAGAGAAATGCAAGTTTATCTGGAATAGATTGAATTTGAATATGAGGTCGACCAGATAGATAAATTGTGAGATTTCATTACCATATTTATCCGACAATAAGCCCATGCTCGGTAATAAGCCCCCCAAATATATTGTAGTTAAAAAGAAATGCCAACAACGCTTTTTCATTGTCCTGTAATAAGCCCATCTCCCTACTTTCAGTCAGAGATTCTGTGTTGGCCCCCTGGGCTTATTGCAGGATAAATATGGTATGTTTATAATCTAGTTAGTTAATGTTATGTTCATTACAACATGTATGTATGATTTCAGTGCTATTTCTATTGAAACAACAGCCAGTATCATTTATCTTCTGTCCATATTGTCAACACGAACAGCATACAGTTACTGTGCAAAAATCACATAACAATCATCGTGTACATGTCGCTTGTGAAGGGGTAGAGAAAGTGATTTACATTTTGGATGCCAGCTTTTTAGCATAAATTGGTTTTCAAAATTTTCTAATAAAAAGTAAAAAAATGTTATAAAAGCGGATATAACTGGTCAAAAAATAGCAGAGTTATAATTTTTGTATGCAGATCATGAACGAAATTATGTAGTACATTGAGATTTTTCCTATACATATATATCTACTGTATCTTGATTCACATAAGTATGTTTTTTTTAATTTAACACAAATTTTCTGCAATTTGCTCTGCTATATATTGAATCTGCTTCCATTGCATTAGATGACTTACCTTTTGCTTAATTTCCAGTTTTTTCGCATAAATTTGTAGCAAGTGTGGATCGTGAATTTTTAAGTATCATGTAAACAATTAATCATACACAAGACATACATTTGCAGTGTAATGCAAGTAATTGCCCTCAGGATTAAGTATGAAAAAGTCAGTTTGTGAAATTATAGTATGAGCGAAATATACGTAGTGGAGAGTATTACTGTGCCAGTTGTACATAAAAGGATACAATCTCAACTATGTCCATATATTGTCCACATGCTGGACATAAATATAAGTTATATACATGTATGTGCATAAAATATGTATACTGGTATACATGTATTTCAATTGCTTGAAAATTTGTTTTGTAAAATGATAGTAAAAGCAGACTTTACCAAAATTAGAAAGGTTTGGGTCATTTAAATTATTAAATAACAATCGTGTGTCGGCGAAGCCAGTAATATGAGCATTTTGGTCTAGTTGTGGCCAACAGGGATAACCTTACTGTGTTTTCAGATTTGTGGCAGTATATCTTGATTATACTGTCGCAGATTGAGTTTTACTGGCAATTGTGGAGCAGAGCCAGTAAAACGGATATTGACAATTATTCAATCAAGATAAACTGATGGAAATCTAAAACATACAGTAGTGTTCATTCTCAATCATGTTAGCTAAACTCACTGAAAAATTAGTTGATTATTGTGAACTTTTCAGACATTTTTGTCACTGTTGTGGATAAATGACTTAAGTATCATTTGTAGATAAGTTGAATCACATGCTTTTGTTCATGACATCATTAATAATCAATTTCATCACCTGTCGGGGTTAGATGAAGTCATTGACATCATTAACAATAGCCATCCGTGCTTTGCAGACAGTATTTGGCAGGTGTCAGTATATAAAGTCAGGTTTTCACTGCAAGACATTTCGCAAATTGAGGTTGATAGGTGCTTATTTGACTGCATTCATTAAGAGTTGTATCAGCTTTTAGAATAAAATAGTGCATAAAGGGTATAAAGATGGGTGTGCATCATCAAACGTGTGAATTCAATCTTGTCTGCTAGTAAAGTAGGTTGTATAAACATTTTAATGAAAATGTATGACTGATTTGTGTTGTAATATATGGAACTTTCTTTTGCAATGCGTCATCAAATCTTGTACATCTTGTCAGCAAATATTTGGTGATGTCATCAATATTTGTACATCTTGTCATCAAATATTTGGTGATGTCATCAATACTTGTACATTTTGTCATCACGCTTTTTGTGATGTCATCAAAATGTGTGTTCTAGACGTTTTAAGGCATTTGTGATGCCAAAACACAAGTTGTTGTGAGTTAACACTGCAGCTACTAGATTTATAAAAAATACTGTAGTTTGATAAACACATTTGAAGAGCTCACCTAAAAATACTCATTTCATGTTAGTAGAAATCACTGTTGCTCATGTAAGTTACTGTATAAAGAAAAATGTTTGTTGGTACTTTCTTTTGTGGTTTAAAGTTCAGTGGAAACCCATTTTTTTTTAAACAAACAGCATTTAAGTAAATATACCAAAAAAGTTCAAAACCAAGAAACATTACATGTTTCACTGTATGTCAACTTACGGCTGGAAGTTTTCTTTTTAAACACAATCAGCAAAGACAGTCATCGATCCATGAAAGCAATATAAATAGAGTATTCTAAATTGTACATTATACACCCGCCAACATCATTGTGGAGGCCAGATCAGTAGTATAGTGTACATATCGACTACATTTACACGTAAATCTTATAGAATATTGCTAGAAGTTGGCTTTGTATGTGTGCCCAATAGTGATTAGATATATGGAGCGAGTTGTTTTCAAATTTTATTAAAAAAAATTGTTAGGAATATATATGTACAAGTCAGTTTTCCCATCATTGTCACGTACATACAGATATTTCAGTTGTGACCTTGACATTGAAAGTATAACCTTGACCTTCAATTTTTCTCAGGAGACAGGTGTCAGGAATGAAAGAAGAATGTTGACAGACGGATTGATGGATATTCTGTTGATGAGCATAATGACCTTAACCTTCAACTGGTGTCGAACATTTGATGTCTTGTATAATTCATAAAATTTGGTTGAAAACTTCACTTAGAAATACAAGCAATTTTTCCAATCGTCATGTAAAGATTCTGTAACTGTGTGCGATGAAATTTGGTTGAAAACTTTTAGTCAGACATGTGTGAACAAGGCAAGTTTCCCGTCATCATGTAAACAGTATTGAACACTGACCTTGACCCTGAACATATGATTTTGACCTTCAACTGGTTTTGGGATATTCATGTTGAGGTTATACTTGCATGAAATTTCTGATTCTGTAGGTGAGACCTTAATCTTTGATGTGTTACCTTGATTAAGGGCAGAGAAACTTCAAGCAAAGTTACTAGCCAAATGACAGATTTTCCTATCATCATGTGAAGATTCTGTAATAATAACAAGAGACCCAATGGGCCTGCATCGCTCACCTGGTATAAAACTCACACTTGTAACCTTAAAAGTGATCTAAAATAAAGCTACAGGCAAAATATCAGTATTTATGATTAAAATTCGTTCAAAAGACCCTGTTATTTTTTTTTAAACATTTCACCCCTGTGATTGAAAGTCGAACAAAGTCATTATGTTGAACACATTGTATAG